ATATTGAACCTAGTGAATAGTTGTATATTGAACCTAGTGAATAGTTGTATATTGAACCTAGTGAATAATTGTNGTTGGATATCTAAGTTTAAGGTTCTATGACTAAGTTTTAGTATATTAAAGTTTCTGTGAGTTAGCATGTTAGTATATTAAAGTTTCTGTGAGTTAGCATGTTAGTATATTAAAGTTGGGGGTATGAGGAAACCCCGGGAAACCTAGACCATATCAAATGCACTAGGTCCAATGTTGAACCGAATTCAACCTGGGGGGAAATGTACGTAAATTACTGAAATTATAAATGTGTAAATATTTGATCAATGATATTATCACAAAGTTCGATAGTTATTTTTTCCTAAAATATTATAAGTCAGCTTTAATATTTTTAATTGATATTTCAACCCGAAAACTAAGCAAAATTATAAAAATTGCTTCTTTAAGATCTTCATCCGAGTTTCAAGTTTATTATCTCTCTGTAATTGGGTTCAATTTGCACTTGGTTGGAGAAATTAGTTTTATCTGAACTCTCTGAACCCGAATAAACTAGAATAGAGATAAACTAGAACCTCGTATCTGATATTAACATATATTGTAGAAATCATAAGAAGTATTGAGCTAATAATTCTTTATCGTGCTAATCCCGTTCATCAGTGTACATGGTACAGTAAAAAAGTACACTGTACAATTAAAAGTGTACTGGGTACCGTAAAAGAGTACACTGCGCGGTACATTCCAGCTCATTTCATGAACCAGGCCGAATTTCTATTAGCAGGGCATTCAGTTCATACAAATACAGACTTTATCAGGCAAAACGGGACCATAGGCCAAATGAATATTCCCCTCTACAGTTTAAAGGGACAGGGTATAGTTTAAAGTGGACAGGGTATAGTTTAAAGTGTACAGGGTATAGCTTAAAGTGTACAGGGTATAAATTGAAGTGGACAGGGTATAGTTTAAAGTGGACAGGGTATAGCTTACAGTGGACAGGGTATAGCTTAAAGTGTACAGGGTATAACTTAAAGTGGACAAGGTATAGTTTAAAGTGGACAGGGTATAGTTTAAAGTGGACAGGATATAGTTCAAAGTGGACAAGGTACAGTTTTAAGTGGACAGGGTATAGTTTAAAGTGGACAGGATATAGTTTAAAGTGGACAAGGTACAGTTTAAAGTGGACAGGGTATAGTTTAAAGTGTACAGTGTACAGTTAAAGTGTACGGGTAGTTTTTATCCTTCGTTTTATTAAAGTGAGTTAGCATGTTAGTATATTAAAGTTTCTGTGAGTTAGCATGTTAGTATATTAAAGTTTCTGTGAGTTAGCATGTTAGTGTATTAAAGTTTCTGTAAATTGACATGCTAGTATATTAAAGTTTCTGTGGGTTAGTATATTTCTATGAGTTAAAGTGTCCGTGAGTTAGTGTGTCCGTGAGTTAGAGTGTCAGTATGTCAGTTTTCATATGAGTGTTTGTGAGTTATTGTGTCCGTGTGTCGGTTTGTTATAGTGTCTGGTTAAATAGTTTAAACCCTGGGCTAGTGTGAGGTGAATGGGTTCAATGTTTACCGTACTCCGTGTGAGATATCTGGCAGGAAAATTCCCGTAGGAGAAAATCTGTCCTAGTCAACCCAACCTAGGTTTCACAACCTAACCTTGAGCCAGCATCTCGAGCTCCTGGAGCACAGAACTACCAGTTTTACGCCAAGGTTCAAATCTCACATACAAAAATTCATTATAAAAACTAGCAAAGTATTACTTTTCATCACAAAAATACTATTTATTCTTTTAAATTATCTATGTATTATGACTAATTGTACCAATACAATTATATAAAAAGTAAAAATGTTATAGTTTAAAATGCCGTTAAAATCAGGTCCAAAGTTAGTTTCTATCCAGCTAGTCATATTTATTTTTAAAAATCATAATCCTTATTTTAATTCTAATAATCCAGCAGAATACTTTTAAGCTATAAGATTATAAAGCAACCTTATCATTTGTATAAAAAAAATATTACATTTGACCGGCCCATTATAATATTAACATTAGCAGATTACTATATTATTAAAAAAATTATTATATCCTCAAAAACAGATTGTTTTTTCACAAACAGATTAATTCATAAAACAGAACTATCAAAGAAACAGATGATGAGGTAACAATGTAATTAATTTATTATCAAGAAAGTATTTAATCTAATGATCAAACATGATTTCTCAATCAGACACTGGACAGTGGACAGTGCCCTATACTGTATTAGAAATAATAATAATAATATTCACTTTTGATTTGATTAGGTCGTACAAACCGGATTGGAAGAAGGGGAGGGGGGGGGGGGGGTTAATGGAAATTTAATAGAGGGGTTGGAAAAAGGGAGAGTCGTAGGGGGACGAAACATAGAGAGTGGAGGGGGTAAAGGGTTAAATGGAGGTAGAAGTGTGGTAGGGGGATTAATGGAGGAAGAAGGGGTAGCCGGTAGGGAGGTTAAATGGAGGTAGAAGGGGGTAGGGAGGTTAAATGGAGGTAGAAGTAGGTAGCTGGTAGGGAGATAAATGAAAGTAGAAGGGTGGTAAGGGGATAAATAGAGGTAGAAGGGTGAAAGGGGTTAAATGGAGATAGAAGGGTGGTAAGGGGTTAAATGGAGGAAGAAGGTGGTAGGGGAAAAATGGAGGTAGAAGGGTGGTAAGGGGTTAAATGGAGGTAGAAGGGGGGTTAGGGGTTAAATGGACGTAGAAGGGGGTAAGAGGTTAAATGGACGTTGAAGGGTGGTAAGGGGATAAATGGAGGTAGAAGGGGGTAAGGAGTTAAAAAACGTTGAAGAATGGTATGGGGAAAAATGGAGGTAGAAGGGGGGTAGGGAGGTTAAATGAAGGAAGAAGGGGGGTAGGGAGGTTAATTGAAGGTATAAGAGGGGTAGGGAGGTTAAATAGAGGTAGAAGTGGGTATCTGGTCGGGAAATAAATGGAGGTAGAATGGTGGTGGTGGGTTAAACAGAGGAAGACGGATGGTAAATAGACAAATTGAGGAAGAAGGGGGTAGCCGGTAGTGGAGACAAATGGAGGTAGAAGGGTGGTAGGGGGTAAAATGGAGAAAGAAGGGTGGTAAGGAGATAAATGGAAGAAGAAGAGGGTAGCCGGTAGGGGGATAAATGGAGGTAGAAGGATGGTAGGGGGTAAAATGGAGGTAGAAGAGTGGTAGGGGATAAATGGAGGGTGGTAGGGGGATAAATTGAGTGAGGAGGTTAGCGGAGGGTTAAATGGAGGGAGGAGTGTGGTATGGGGTTTAATTGAGTGAGAAGGGTAGCGGGGGGTAGAATGGTTGAATGACAATTATTATGAAGGTTTCCACATGTTCCAGAAGCCTGGAGCAGAGTTATTATTCTTCATATAATCGTTCTCCAAGAATCCTGCGTCCTGGGTCCTGCAAGGTCTCGCTTCTATCAAAATTATGCAATACTTCTAGATAAGCGGAGAGAAATATGTGTCAATCCTGAACCTACAGGAGACAAAGAGACGTTTAAACTTATTTTCTTGGGTTTTAAGGACTGTCATTAAAATATTTTTTACACCACAAATGTTAATAATGTTAGGGCATAAAACCTCTTTGTTTTAGTTCTCTCTTTCTACGTTTAAAGTTCTATTATCTGGAGATCTGAGTATTCTAGTGTAAAGTTTTGCATCTAGGTTTTAAGATATCATCTAGGATAAGGGTATCCATAAATATAAGGTTTTGTATCTAGATTTTAAGATATCATCTATGATACGGGTATCCATATATATAAGGTTTGATAGCTAAGTTTAAGGTTCGATATCTAAGTTTAATGTTCTATATCTCTAAGTTTATGGTTGGATATCTAAGTTTAAGGTTGGAAATCTAAGTTTATGGTTGGATATCTAAGTTTAAGGTTGGATATCTAAGTTTATGGTTGGATATCTAAGTTTAAGGTTCTATGACTAAGTTTAAGGTTCTATATCTAAGTTTAAAGTTGGATATCTAAGTTTAAGGTTCTATATCTAAGTTCAGGGTTCTAATATCTAAGTTTAAGGTTGGATATCTAAGTTTAAAGTTAGATATCTAAGTTTAAGGTTCTAAATCTAAGTTCAGGGTTCTAATATCCAAGTTTAAGGTTGGATATCTAAGTTTAAGGTTCTATATCTAAGTTTAAGGTTCTTATATCAATGTTTAAGCTGTTGGATATCTAAGATTAAGGTTGGATAGCTAAATTTAAGGTTCGATAACTAAGTTTAAGGTTTAGGGTTCTCTGTCCAGGTTTATGGCTTTGCAGGTTTATAATGATAAGACATGAAGTGTATCCATGTTAAAAGTTAAATATAAAAACTTGAATATATAAGGAATAAGTTCTAATTGTAGTATATCCTGTTCTAACGTCCTTGAATCTTGCTTTCTCTCCTTCTCTCGTTCAAATTCCTTTAGGACAGAAGAAACCCGTTAGAATTTGACAAGTTTTACAAAAATAGAAACCCCCCCTTTCCAGCAACCTACCCAGCTTTGCTATGCATAACCTCCGGGTCCCCTGCTTTCAAAAAGAGAGGGGGGGGGTGGAGGAGGTGGAGAGGGGTCCTGCAGGGCCAGGTGGTCCCCTCACCAAACTAGGGACCAGCTGCCTCAAATATGCAGCTGCCATTTTCAATACAAGCAGTAACAGAAAACTTTTTATTTATTTATTTATTATTCATAAGTAGAATTGTGTATTTTTGGATTAAATGAAGTTTGTGTTCATAAACTTTTATAATGTTAGCCATATCATATTTTCCAGATTTTTGCCACAATTATCAACTTTCACGCGATTAGTTGAACTACTGATCATTGAATTATCATAATGGAAAATCAAGGACGTTTTGAACAAGGATGCAGGAAATATTTTACATCTATTCCACTGAATCCACTCTCCCCCCCGGGGTCAGATCGCTGGCGGGTCCTTCTTTCTCTTCCCGCCAGAATTCAGTTGGATGGATCCTGGAGCTTGCAGAGTAAACCTCTCCAAGCGCTCAGTTCAAATCCAGATCTCACGGTGTCCACGTCTCTAGATTTTATCCCGCATTTTCCGAACTTGTATCTTTTCCCTTCACCGCGATTAAATTTACTTTTTTGGACAAAATGTTTATTTTCTTTTGTGAGCAAACTGCCTGCACAAAAATCAATTCTAGTTTTTCCTTCTCCAAGCTTGACGATGAAACAGGATATATTTTTAAAAATAACTTGGATAAAAAATCAACCAAACTTTCATCTCTAATTATTAATGATCCCCCTCCCTTCTCATCTAAATATGCCTCCTAACCCTGAAAATGCATGGCATATATCCTTATTGCACCCCGAGCCTAGAAACAGCTGATGAACCTTGCCGTAGGCTGGTGAAAGTTTGAGGTATGAGAAATCTCGCAATTCTGTCGTAATAGAGTACAGCCTGGATCCTAATCCTCCAACTTGCACTGTAATAATTAGAATGCGTACAGTGTTAACTCCTGTTACACTTTCTAACCTTAGCGCTTACACAATGAGAGATTCTTGTTGACACTTATTACAGTCTGCAAATTGACCTTAGTCTATAATATTTATCCTAAATACAATCCTTGTTCGTAGAGTTCGTATCATAGTTTGTATGTACACATAAACATTTCTGGAACCTTACGCTCAATGTCAACCAAAATACTGATGTCGTTTTAAACTAAAATTTTTTAAAATTTGTTATACTTCTATTACTCATATACACAAATATTTATTTATAAAATATATATTTAAGTTTATATAATTGTTTTGATGAAACCATCTCCAACCATCCTTCCAATCATTTCTACTCCACCTTCCATTTTCTTATTCGTCTCTTCTCCTCCTTCCATTTTCTTATTAGTCTCTTCTCCTCCTTCCATTCTCTTATTCTTCTCTTCTCCTCCTTCCATTCTCTTTTTCTTTATTCTCCTCTCCTATTTCCATTCTCTTATTCTTTATTCTTCTCTGCTCTTTCTTCCATTCTTTTAATATTCGTCGCTCGGCATTCCATTCTCCGAATCTTCTCTTCTCCTCATTCAATTCTCTTATTCTTCTCTGCACCTCTTTCCATTCCCTTATTCTTCTTATCTCCTCCTTCCATTCTCTTATCATTCTTATCTCCTCCTTCCATTCTCTTATTCTCCTCTCCTCCTTTCATTTTCTTATTCTTCTCATCTTCTCCTCTTTCCATTATATTATTCTCCTCTCCTCCTCCTTCTATTCTCTTATTCTGCCCATATCCTCCTTCCATTCTGTTATTCTCCTCTACTCCTCTTTCCATTCCCTTATTCTTCTTTTCTCCTTCTTCCATTTTCTCACTCCTCTTTTCTCCTCCTTCCGTTATCCTAACCTTCTCTTCTCCTCCTTCAGTTCTCCTAACCTTCTCTTCTCCTAAGCTTCTCTGTTCTCCTTCACTTCTCGTATTCCTTCTTGAATTCTACATTATTTTCCTAGTTTTGACAAGTTTTCTCAACTTCTTATATCTCGTATATATCCTTTCCCCGCCCAGACTCCAAAAGTGTTCATGTTTTGTCATGCTCCAATCCTCCTTCCCTTTTCTTCAATTCTTTGTCCGTCACATTCTTAATTTACAGATTTTCCCCGTTCTCTTTCCCTCCCTTCTCCCATCCTTCCTGTTTATTGAGGGATTAGATGTACAACATCCGTCCCAACCCAACAAATATTTTCATCCTGGTGTTGTTTGTCTATAAACCATTGCATCCTGGTTTTTTATTACAAAACAAATAGATTTTTAATCATTTAAACCAGTTACATTCGGATATTCATCCCAATACAAGTTACTTTGATTGATTTTTCTTGAATATTATCCTTGTTCATCTTTTCTCCCTCTATCTCTGTCCATCCCGTCCTCCTACTCTATTCCGTGTCCCTACTTTCACCGGATGTAGGTTCTATATCTCTCTGGTCTTTGTCTGGGTACCCTATACAGACTTCTCCACCCTCTGGGTCAAGTTGGGGGGGGGGGGCGGTATACCCCCAGCCAGTATCCACCTTCCCACCTCCCGACCTCATTTAAAATTTTGAAACGGTGAAGTTTCCTTTTTTACTCCAATAATTAGGGGTTTTCAAGGTTAAGCTGAGTTTTAGTTTGATAAAATTAGGAATTATAAAACTTGTATAAAACTAGATTTTATTAACAACGTTCATAAAAAGTGGTTTATAGATTTTGGCAAATCAATACTTGATAATAACGATGTAATTAAGGGCGGCCACACTTTATAATTCTATGAAAATTATAATAATCGAGTCCAACCAGTCCCCAGGCACTATTTAATAATTCATCTATGTATATCGATAGAAAGCTCCCCTTGTTCCCCATAACTTTAATATTTCACCCAGTTTTTATTAATGAAATATAGGGGGGGGGGGATTTATAAAACAGAAAATATTTTCATTTCAGCAAGCCGCTGAATTAAAGGTTCCTTGGTCTATATCTTATTTGTGAGTGTGTGAATACGTTAAACCCTGTAAACCTGGGGTTGATAATATCTAGGTTATGTTTGTTTAGGAAGCAAGGACAAAGTACTTGTAAAAGGATGTGTGTACGTATATATGTATGTAAGGGTGTATGTATATTGTATGTCAGTATGTAAAAGGATGTGTGTACGTATATATGTATGTAAGGGTGTATGTATATTGTATGTCAGTATGTAAAAGGATGTGTGTACGTATATATGTATGTAAGGGTGTATGTATATTGTATGTCAGAATGTAAAAGGATGTGTGTACGTATATATGTATGTAAGGGTGTATGTATATTGTATGTCAGTATGTAAAAGGATGTGTGTATGTATATATGTATGTAAGGGTGTATGTATATTGTATGTCAGTATGTAAAAGGATGTGTGTACGTATATGTGTATGTAAGGGTGTATGTATATTGTATGTAAGTATGTAAAATCTAAGACAAATTTAAGAGTTCTCTTTCTTTCTTTGAAAAATCTTAATAGTTACAGGTTTGTTTATCATGACAAAGTATCAGTGTGGGTGCACTTTATTCATTAATGAATAATTGCACGAGAATACTTGAGGGGATGGGGGGGGAGGGCAGGCGGTCTCCACAAATACTAATTGGTCTTTTCTCTAATTTCACTTACCAAAACCTTGGTGTATAAAGAGAAAGAACAGGGTTGGGCGAATTAAGGACAGTTAAAGATATGAGAGAGAAGTAGAGAAGTAATAGAAGGAGAAAAGGAAAGGAGAAATGGGTAGAGAGGAAAAGAAGTAAGAAAGTAGAATGAGATATTGAACCAAAGTTAGAGAAAGTATATGAAAAGCTTGGATATATATATAAATTCTAAAGTTGTCTGTGCATTTATCCACTTCAGAAACCTCCTGTCTTGCTTATTTCAATTTAATTCTTAGTTTTGTGTTTAATATTAAAGAAATTACTATTTTGACGTCATGAAGGACAGGGTCTATTTTTATCTCAAGTTCTGTCCCATTGTCTAACTGTCTCTCCGAAGGAGAATCTGAAGAGCCTAAAAACCTCGGAAAAGATGAGAATAAAGATTTAGCCTTTCAACAAACTGAGCAACCATATTTCCGAGTGTCCGTCGTTTCCGGTCCATGAAACATAGGGTTCCTAGAGCAGGGGGGGNATTAATGTGATATATGTAGAGGGGTAGGTTTGTCCGTCTTTTCCTGGTGTGTGTCTGTGTGCGGAGGATTGGTTACCTAGATACTTACATTCACAACATACACATCCATTCACAGGGATCAATATTCTCTCTTCAAATATTCCCGTGTTCCTAGACCTACCTGGAGCAACAAGGGGGGTGGAGGGTCGTCAAAACTAATTATATTTTGTTTAGAGTTGGTTGTAATGGTTTCCCCTGACGTTGGCTTCTCTGTGACCAGGTGTGTTAAACTCAGTTTGATTGGACAAACCATCGGAGAAACACACTAGGAGAAGGGTCCCGGAGAACCCGGAGTAAGAACTCAATCCTCGCTGTCACAAAAACCGAAGACAAAGAAACGTTCTAAGAAACATAGAACACTTTTCCCTGGATGAAGATGAAGGCAGGACGGAGTAGGATGGTTTCAGAAACCCTTGAAATACTCTAATTTCGGAGACAGGTAAAACTTGCTAAATTCTTGTAAAATTACACACTGACATTTCGATTTTTATTTGATAAACTTTGTCCTTCTTCTTACTAGTTTTCGATCATTGTACTAAACTCTTGATATTTAAATATTTCTGGAGTTTGACACAATTAAAACTTATTAAAAAATGTTACATCGTGACATTATGCAACATTAATTTATATTGTTAACATGAAAATTCATTATTTTCACTAATATTACATGGTTGTTAAAGTATTTTGTAGTAGCATGCTATATAATACTTTGGTCGACGATAAAAATTAGTCTTTGTGGTTAACCCTGTATTTATGGTGCCATTGAGTACATAAAAAACTGTTGTACTCATGTATTGTAAAGTATTATGTCCAGTCGTACTCAATGGGACCACAGGATTAGTTCTTATTGTAAGCGTAATTTTTGAGAGTCCAACAATCTTTTTTTTGCTGATTTTATTAAACTTGACTTTTTTATAAAATGATTATTCTAACATATCCTACTGGCTTACGTAATAGATCTTTATTTAAATCCTTTAGTCAAAATCATTATTTTATGTGAAAGCTATAATTTCTTATCAAAACCTTGTTATCATATTACAATCCATTTTTCTTATCCTTGTATACATCTCAAGATGTGCCAATGATCTATATAATAATCAATATAATATTATAATGCTTTTTAATATTTTTTAATTTAAACCCATGGGTCTTTCCAGAATCCTATCCCCAGCTTAGTGCTTTCTTATCAAAATTACGGAAATATTAATGCTGTTTAAATTAATGTAATTATTTTTCCTCAAAGACTTATCACGAAATTAATTTGGAATTCTGAAGGACTCATTTATTGTGCGTTATATCCCGGGGGTATGATACGTTTCCCTAGGGGAGGGGTGGGGGGGGGGAATTCTGACTTTTATATGGAAGACTAGTGATTTTGTTGTTATTTAAACAATGAATCTCTTGTCTCCTTATAACGGCCAGTTAATCATCTAAATCAGAGAGTATTTTAAACAAGAAGAAACTCCACACAGAACGAAGGATAAGTCCAGAATAAAGAAAACCTTGGAATGAATCCCAACAGCTAGAGAAACAAAAACTGGAAATCCAATCATGGTAAAAAAAATCCAAACTATCTTCTCCTGCATGACCTTACACAAGTGTGAAATGAATTGTCAAGTTAGGGAGTAAAATATAAAATGGTAGAATGGATTGGTAAAATCTGAACAGCCAGCTTGCTCAGTACTGGAACTCCAGTATGGAAAAGAACACCAAGGAATAACTACTCAAAATTTACTTCAGAGCCTAATACAGCTAGAGAAGAACTTATCTACATCTACGACGATTTCTCCAGTATTGGTCTAGTATTGCTCTAGTTCTGATTGCTCCAGTATGGAAGACTAGTGATATTGTTGTGTTCTTTAAATCGAACAACGTGTCTCTAGCTTCCGTACTGTGGTTTTCACATCATCTCCTAGAGGAGTTAAATTTACACCCGGAGCTTACACGTAACTAACTCAACCTGTTAAAAATCTACCCTGAGATAAGGACCTGAATAGCAAGGTTGGGATTGGGTTTGCCCAGTTCTCACACTTTCTCCTGAAACCTTGAATTACTTTCAGAATTCGTTTTCATTAAAATCAAGTTACTAATAATACATGTTTAATCCAGTGCAATTTTTATTATAAAATCTGTAAATCCTGTTTTTCTCCGTTTATATAAGATATATTTTTTTAGAAACTTGACGAGACCGTGTTGAATCCTGATCCAAGATGGAGGACGGAACTGATCCTTCTGCTGAACTAATCCAGCTCTCTTCCTCCTCCTCCCCCTACGGCAGCCTAGATGGGTTCACCATCGACCGGAAGATCGGGAAGGGACAGTTTAGCGTGGTGTACAGAGCCAAAGCTGTACACAACCACGAGACGGTGGCGCTGAAGAAGGTTCAGATATTTGAGATGATGGATAGTAAAGCTCGACTAGACTGCATGAAAGAGATTCAGCTGCTGCAGGTCAGAAAATCACGCGGCATATTATTGCCATTATAAATTTCAAGGAGATTTATATCCGCGTCATGCGGGTGAATTCTACTACGCAAGTTGGATTGGGATTGCGTTATTCCGGTTCGCTTCGTACCATTGAGGAATGTTGTGTGGTAATCATGAAATTTTGAAATCACTATTCACCTTCATATATTTCCACATTCTTCAATTATTTATTCTCGGTCCTGCGTGCACCAATAATTACCTATTGATTATAGCGGTATACCATGATATATATTAAAACAATTATTACATGAAATGTATGTAGAAAATGTTTCAGTTAAAACTTCCAATAAGGCGGTTTGCAATAAAAGAAAAACTTCTGATTATTTATTATTTTGGCAATTCTATAAAATCATTATTTTCTCGTGCCTTTAAAAGTATATTAAGAAGATTTTGTATTAATAACTATATTTTCAGCAATTGGACCATCCTAACGTTATCAAGTACCTGGCGTCCTTTATACAGGACAACGAGCTCAACATCGTCCTTGAGCTGGCAGACGCTGGGGACCTCTCCAGGATGATCAAGCACTTCAAGAAACAGAAGCGACTTATCCCGGAGAGGACGATTTGGAAATATTTCGTCCAGCTCTGCTCGGCATTAGGACACATGCATTCGAAACGAGTTATGCACAGAGGTAGGAAAGACGACATTTATAATGAATAAATTTGTATTGTTATTATCATCGACTACTTAATCCAACCCGTTTTATAAATCCTTTTCTATTTAGATATAAAACCTGCAAATGTTTTTATCACCGCTGAGGGAGTAGTTAAACTTGGAGATCTGGGACTAGGACGTTTTTTCTCCTCTAAAACCACAGCTGCTCACTCCCTGGTTGGGACACCCTACTACATGTCTCCGGAGCGGATTCATGAACACGGATACAATTTCAAGTCGGATATCTGGTCCCTGGGATGTCTCCTATATGAGATGGCTGCTCTGCAATCTCCGTTCTATGGAGACAAAATGAATCTTTACTCCCTTTGCAAAAAGATTGAACAGGTATTATCTCAAAACCTGGAGATATTCTTTAAAAACATGGAAAATAATTTTTTATCGATTCTAATAAATCATTTGTTTAGTGCGACTACCCTCCTCTGCCATCAGACGAATATAGCGAGGAGCTGAGAGACCTTGTTGCTGCTTGTATCAACCCGGAGCCAGATAAACGTCCCGATATCGAGTATGTTCACAGTATTGCCAGAGAAATGCATTCAAAGTAGGTTTATTAATTTAAAGGTTGTATATAATGTTAGATACTCTGGATGCGCTCTAATGTAGGTAAAGACGACTTTTATAACAGGATACTCTAATACCAAATATGACGTCTCTGATACTTAACTACATTTAATCACATTTAACAAATATTGATTATACTCACAAGTTTGAAGCTGAAAAATGCAATTCTAATTCAAATGTTCAATTGTTTTAGTTCGTTTAAATTAACTGAGCCGAAAAATTTATTATTCTTTCAAATAAGCAGTGACGTCATGTGAGGTATATAGAGTGTCTATTACTTTAAAAGTCGTCTTCATCTACAACGGAGCGCATCTAGAGTATCTGACCTTATTATATAACCATGATTATTATACAAAAGTCACAATCTCTAGTTTACGTTTCCCTAATTTTCTATTCTTAATCTGGATTGTTGTTTAGAACCCAACCCCCCGCTAGTGCTGTTAGTACCTACAGCTATGATCCGTCCCTCCAGGATTCAAATGCCGCGCTGTCGGAGAACTTTAAGAAGATCAGCTTGGAGGAGAAATAGGACAGTGCACAGACTAGGAGCCGGAGACCCCGCGTAGAGAAAGTAGCTCAGGAAGCTTGGAATCTATTCCAGTTCACATCCAATACATCCAATACTAAGAGAAGAATTTCCTTTAGCTCTGAGAATAGTTCTAGAAAATCCTCCGGAGATAGAGATTCATCTAGAATCCGAAAGAAGGATCGTTCAAGGAGACGTACGCTTAAACAAACCTCCAGTGCTCCGAGTATAGGAAAACATTCCGAAGAACCTGGACGGAGGATATCAAGTACTCCGACCTCGGCAGTAAACTGGTATTCAGGAGATCTTGAAGCCTCACATAGTCTCAGGGGAGGAATAGCCTTCCAGTAACCTGAGCCTAATCCTTGAATCCTAATCCTAGTCTCTCTTCCTCCTAGTCTGTGCAGAAGAACAAGAAGGCTGTGTTTAAATATGTAACCCTGTGATTTTTCCGTCCTCCGTCATATATTACAATTTTCACGGAGAATTATTTTTTTCTCGTTATCCGCTTTATTTCAGCCACCAACGGCCTTCCTCCTATACTACTACTATACCTAGAGCTGCTGGTTGCTGAGATACTCGGATTATTCTAAAACAATAATAAAAGTTAACTATTGATGATTTCATGCATTTTTATAATTCTTAAAATCATTTTCAAAATCTATATTTAAACAAAAACATCTAATTTGTAGATGAAAATTGTATTTTTATGGAACTGCAATTTACAACAAATATTTAAAGAAGTGTGCAAAAACGGCCAAATTATGCGAATCAATTTTTAAGCTTAGAACTATTGATAAATCAGACTCTTCAAATATTTCTGAAATTCTGATGGAATTCAGAGGATAACTGAAGGAAAAGTAAATAGAACTTAATACATATAAAGAGAAACCTAATAAAAAAGTGGTAAAATTAAATTTCATAAAAAGGTTGGGACAGAACAAAGAGAGATTGGAGGAGAAAGAGCCGAAAAGAAATGTGTTTGAAACGACGACGAAAATTATAAGTGAACTGAAGAAAAAGGGTGGAAGAGACCAGAATGACAGATAAAGAGATAAATGCAAAATAAATAAAAAGATTGGGAGATAACATAAAAGAAATTAATTTAAAAAAAAAGATTGGGAGAGAATTAAAGAGAGAGATTAGGAGAGAACAAAACAGAAATATTTGGAGAGAACAGAAGAGAAATATTAGGACAGAATTGAAGAGAAAGATTGGGAGAGAATTGTAGTGAAATATGGGGGGAGAATTGAAGAGACAGACTTGGAGAGAACTGAAGAGAAAGATTATGAGAGAACTGAAGAGAAAGATTGGTAGAGAACAGAAGAGAAAGATTATGAAAGAAATGAAGAGAAGGATTAGGAGAGAATTGAACTTAAAAGAAAGATTAGGGGATAACTGAAGAGAAAGATTAGGAGAGTACTAAAGAGAAATATTAGAAGAGAACTGAATAGAACGATTAGAGAAGAACTAAAGAGAAAGATTAAGAGAGAATTGAAGAGAAAGATTAGAAGAGAACGGAAGAGAAAGATTAGAAGAGAACTTAAGATAAAGATAAGTAGAGATCTAAAGAGAAAGATTAGAGAAGAAATGTATAGAAACATTAGAAGAGAACGGAAGAGAACTAAAGAGAAAGATTAGGAGAGAACTGAAGATAAATATTAGAAGAGAACTGAAGAGAAAGGTTAGAAGAGAACTGAAGAGAAAGATTTGAAGAGAACTGAATAGAACGATTAGAAGAGAACTGAAGAGAAATATTAGAAGAGAACTGAAGAGAAAGATTAGAAGAGAACTGAAGAGAAAGATTAGAAGAGAACTGAAGAGAAAGATTAGAAGAGAACTGAAGAGAAAGATTAGAAGAGAACTGAAGAGAAAGATTAGAAGAGAACTGAAGAGAAAGATTAGAAGAGAACTGAAGAGAAAGATTAGAAGAGAACTGAAGAGAAAGATTAGAAGAGAACTGAAGAGAAAGATTAGAAGAGAACTGAAGAGAAAGATTAGAAGAGAACTGAAGAGAANGATATATATATATATATATATATATATACATGTTAGTTTTAGCTACTTTAGCTAGTACAGTACCAAGTGTAATGGGTAGTAGAAGTTAGAACTAGTGCTCCGGGTTCAAGAGATCAGCTGAGAAGAGGTGTTGGAGCCGGGACGGTTTAGGTTTACTTTACTCTCTCCAGTTCCTCTAGACTGCAGAACTCACAGAACACTGTTTACATCTTGGTGAACACTTATCGTTATCAGTTTGTAGAAACATAAAATAGTGATTTGATCATTTGTTCACATTATTTGTAGTTCTGCAATATAAGCTAGACAGAAGATTTAAAGGAGTGAATAGACTTAAACAACTGTGATTTACTCACCTTGAATCGGTTTATTAATTTGACTAAATATCTAGTAATATGTATTTTTCTTACGACGAAATAACGAAATATTTTCATTAATTTTATAAAACCTTGATTTTTTAATGTTAACATACAGCATGCAATTTATCCTTAGATACATGTAATTTTTGTAAATATGTAATGTATATACATTTATACAAAAGTATGTTCACATATATATGTATATTGATTTATTTAATACAATATAGATTCCCCAGTAAATACTTTTTTTGGGGGTGTTAAACAATTTTAATTGAATTTTGCTTATAAAAAAACTTATGCCTACAGGTCCTACAGGTCCATGTTAAAACCAGCTGTTTACAAAGGAATGTCATTTACTCTCAGAAAAATCAGAACTAATGGAAATTTATAACACCTCCCCCCCCCCCCAGGAATTCAAAGATAAACCCGATTGAATCCCGATAAATAATTAGTGTGTAGCTGTGAATAAAAAAATAAAAATATAGTTTATATTTATACTTTTTAATGAGTCACTTCTTTCTTAAAACTTGTGATATTACTCAGAGCTTTCAGCTGGTCCAATTACTTACAACCCTTGTTCCAAGTTTCAGTTGGTTTTACAGTCTACTCGGAATAGAGAGCTCAAAAAATATTTAAATTCCGAGAAAAATATGTATCTATATATAAATTTGGCTTGTCTGTCAGTTTGTCTGTTTGTCTGTCTGTTTGTATCCAATAAACGTCAAAACGGCTGAACCGATCGGGCCCAAATTTTTTGTGGGACCTCACATGACCCCAGGGAAGGTTATGAATGATAAAAAAATTTAAAAATGTGTTTTAAAGGTTTTAAATTTTGTAAAAAAACTGAAATTCTTGAAAATCCGCGAATTATTTTTTAAAAATCCGCAAAAATTTTTTCTTCTTTGTTTTAAAATGTAAACAAAAAGAACATGTTCAAAATTTAAATAGAAGATATAAAAAGTTATACATATTAACAGAGGCGTAAACAGAAACTTCCTCATTGCTATACTGAGATAAAGGTTTTAAGGTCGGGTACCATTGTGAATAAAGCATGTAACTATTCTACTGCTAGATCAAGTTTTACGTTTTTATTTTCAGGATTAAAGCTGATACAATATGTCTAAGTTTAAACCCCGGCGTCCTGCTCCACCTCCACCAAATATGCCTTCTAGCACACTACTTAAACAGTATTTTGACAGGTTGGATTTATTCATATTAATGCTATTTGCCTATATATATATATATATATATTAGCTGGCCTTTAGGAGACCCTGAATGGGTAACATAGACTAATTTCTTATTGAAAATCATGAAATTCCACAGGCAACGCCGGGCACTTCAGGAAGTTTACATTTTATATGTAAATATTTGGCTTGTCTGTGTTGTTGGTTTAATTTTGCTAGATTTAAATAATTTTGTCTAGAAAAAAATTTCGGTTTAAAGGGCAATATTTGGATCTAAAATTGTAACTGTAGAAAAAGGGGCGCTCAGCGCCATAATATACTAGTGTGATAAATTACAAATTCATTTAACAAATTAACACTTCTTTATCGCTTATAGTTATTCGTACAACACACAGTTTTAAATACATATGTGTAATATTTATGTTGTATATTGTATGTTATTAAATTATGTTTTATCTACAAAAGTAGTAGACATACAGTGATTACCAGAAAACTCTGGAATAAGGAGACGACTTTCAGACTCAATTCATGACTCTAAATAGTGCAATGAACATGAGAAAACACAATTGTTCGGTGTAAAAAGGCCCAAATGACTTAAAAACTGATTTTATAATGTTCTCGAAAAACTGTTTACTCTTTAACCGCATCAAATACTGTTTATTTTTGCTATAATGTCGTCTTCCTATTCTACAGTTTTCTGGTTATCACTGTATTATTACAAACTAACTTAATAACTTAGTACTATGGTACATACTGTTTTTTCCTTTGATATGCCAATCTGCCAGATTTGATAAATGTGATTTATCAGCAAGGCTTAAGAATAGGAATAAAAATATTAATCATTATTTACCCATTTTCCGCCTTTACCAGTTTCCAAGCACTGTTCAAATCATACAGAGAGAATCGGAAAACTCTGGAATAGGAAGAGACCTTTTAGTATCAAGTTATGACTTTAAATAGCCAAATATTGGACATGAGACACAGAATAGTGCAGTGTAATCAGACCCATTTATCTTAATAACTTAATTTATATGTTACTGGTAAAACTATTTGCTTTGTAAAAACGTGAAATACACTTTAAGTATTGCTATAATGTCGTCTTCCTATTCCAAAGTTTTCTGGTTCTCACTAAAGACTTATTCAACCTAAGGTCTGATTTAAAGAATAGCAAGAATTAGTTGAACTAGGTACGAATAGTTTAACTAATTCTTCAGTGTGGTAAGGAATGTATTAGGAAAGGAGTAGCTATACCTAGTTTAACTGTTTCTAACTATACATAAAATCCTACCTGTGGTTTCTTTTCCTTTCTAGTTGCAGTATAGTTAATTACTAACTAGTGTTCAAAGAAACTGATTACTCTCCTTATTATCGATCTAGTTTTCTAAGCCTTATATCTTTGCAACTTGTTATCTTATCTTTGAAATTTGAATTCTGCCATATCAATTGGTCAAAGTCTTAAAATAAATCGACATATCATATTTAGGGTAGATAGTGATAAATCAGGAACTATTACTCCGTTATAACTATCTGTATTTAGGGTAGATAGTGATAAATCAGGAACTATATTGTTATAACTATCTGTATTTAGGGTAGATAGTGATAAATCAGGAACTATATTACTCCGTTATAACTATCAGTATTTAGGTTAGATAGTGATAAATCAGGAACTTTTACTCCGTTATAACTATCTGTATTTAGGGTAGATAGTAATAAATCAGGAACTATAACTCCATCAGAACTACAAGCAGCGCTATCTAATGGAAACAATACAGAGTTCAACATTGGGACTGTTAACTTAATGATTGGTTAGTTTCATTATTCATTATTTCATTCACCATTCATCCATCTTCATCCATCCGTAAATCTTCATCCATCCGTAAATCTTCATCCATACTTAAATCTTCATCCATACTTAAATCTTCATCCATCCTTAAATTTTCATCCATCATTCATTCATCCATCCTCATCCGTTTATCCTCTTCATCCTTTCATCCATCTTCATTCATTCATTTGTTCATCATCCTTTCATGAGACTTTCATCCATTCTCTAAAGACTACTTTAATTCTCTACTCTAGTTGTTTAAGTTTCTAATTTGCTAATTCTCTAACATCCTGTTTTCTAGTTCTCGAGTTCTCTAGATCTTAAATTCTCTAGGTCTTAAGTTCTCTAGTTCTCTAGTTCTCTAGTTCTCTAGTTCTCTAGTTCTCTAGTTCTCTTGTTCTTTAGTTTTGTAGTTCTCTAGTTCTCTAGTTCTCTAATTCTCAAAGTTCTCTAGTTCTCTAGTTCTCTAGTTCTCTAGTTCTTTGGTTCTCTAATTCTTTGGTTCTCTAGTTCTTTGGTTCTCTAGTTCTCTAATTATCTCTACTATCTCTACTATCTCTATTATCTCTATTATCTCTATTATCTCTAATATCTCTATTATCTCTAATATCTCTATTATCTCTAATACCTCTATTATCTCTATTATCTCTATTATCTCTAATATCTCTATTATCTCTAATATCTCTATTATCTCTAATACCTCTATTATCTCTATTATCTCTATTGTCTCTATTATCTCTATTATCTCTATTATCTCTATTATCTCTATTATCTCTATTATCTCTATAATCTCTATTATCTCTGATATCTAGGATTGTTTGATACTGAGAAGACTGGTGAGATAGATTTCAAGGATTTTGGTTCTCTGTGGAGATATATTGTAGATTGGCAGAACTGCTTTAAAAACTTTGACAAGTAAATAGTTTATTTTGAAACTCGCGATAAAATTTCTTATAGGAAACGTCTTACAAAAGGAGTTGAGTCTTTGCCACAAATTCAATTTTTTTATTCCTTTATCTTTGGAACCTGATCATGTATACCTTTGATATTTAAAACTTAATTATCTGATCTAACAGCATTCATAGTTTGAAATGTCTAAGGTCTACGACATTGTGTTGCAAAGATATCGAGATAAGAAAACAAGAGTTTGTGGCAAAGACTCAATTCCTTTAATTAAAGATTTTTTAATTAGAACTGATTTATTAATTAAGAAGTGCACTAAATATTTTTAAAGATATTTCAGTTACATAATTTTACAGTTATAAAATCCGTACTAACATTTTACAATTAAAAGAGATAATGAAGACGACAATTCAAATCTACCGTTTTCTGTTTTTCACCGTATATCCCGTAACCACCAAAAAAACAACGTACATATATAATCTTTTTTCATGAACGAATTTTTTTGGTATATTTAAATTCCTTACCGTATTCATTTCGGATATTTTTAGATAAAACCCCAAAAAAATACTCTTTCTGAAATTCTACTGATAAGAATAAGATGTTTTAAAATTTTCAGTTGCAACCAAATAAAGGAATTAAGTCTTTGTCACAAACTCTGAGTTTCTTATCCCTATATCTTTGCAACCCAATATCGTAGACCACAGATTTTTCAAACTATGATTTCTGTTAGATTAAATAATCTCAGTTTGAAATTTCAAAATATAAAAGGGATGAAAGTTTTAAGTTTATCACTAAGACTCAATTCCATTTATAAAATCTTGCTTGCATGGAAAACAAAAACTATAGGAGGTTGCAAAGTCAGATATAACCAAATAGGTTGACAAGTACAATAGATGGCAACACAAAAATCGACCAACTGCGCACAACGTCATATGTGGCAAATGAAAAAAGAAAGGACATGTCCTCTAATTAGTTGGTAGGATTTCCAAGATTTGGTGGAGATAAATGTCGTCTTTGTAGGAATACGTAAAAAATAAATACAACTCAAAATTAGATAGAGTATTTTTTCACTCATTCGAGATATAACTATGTGTAGGGATAAATCTGGAAGTATAAACCTGGTTGAGCTGGAGGAAGCCCTCACTAGCTTCGGCTACACCCTCTCCAGGGACGTGATGCAGCTCCTTCTCCGCAGATTTGACCGAACCAACTCACATGCTGTCAAATTCGACGATTTTATTCAGTGCTGTCTAGTACTGCATGTTAGTATATTTGATAATCTATGTACAATGGTCGGCATTTAAATCAATACAATGAAGACGACTTTTCTATTAAAGTTTTCATTTCTATCAAGCTTTTTATTGACAGTTTTTTTCATGTTTATGTGTCTCTGCTGTTTGACGGATTGATAGAAATCAAAATTAAAATAGAAAGCCGTTTTTATTGTATTGATATTAACGATGACGACTGTATTTCATTTGCTTTGTGTTTAGGGAATGACAGATATATTCCGAGCGGAGGATACGGATCAGGACGGAGTTATTCAAATCACATACGAACGTTTTCTCGTCCTACTACTCAACTCAAACCTTCTTAACCTGTAAACACCACCTGGATCACATACATGCGTATTCTTGTCCTACTACGCAACTCAGACCTTCTCAACCTGTAAACATGACCTGGATTACATACAGGCGTATTCTTGTCCTACTACTCAACTCAAACCTTCTCAACCTGTAAACATGACCTGGATTACTACATGCATATTCTCGTCCTACTACTTAACTCAAACCTTCTCAATATGTAAACATGACAGCTGGATTACTTTATGTGTATTCTTGTCCAACTACTCAACTCAACCCTTCTCAACCTGTAAACATGACCTGGATTACATACAGGCGTATTCTTGTCCTACTACTCAACTCAAACCTTCTCAATATGTAAACATGACTTTGATTGTAATTGTAATACAGGCGTTTTCTCGTCCTAATTCTCAACTCAAACCTTCTCAATATGTAAACATGACCTGGATCACATGCATGCGTATTCTCGTCCTATTACTTAACTCAACCCCTTCTCAATATGTAAACATGACCTGGATTACTACATGGGTATTCTCGTCCTACTACTCAACTCAAACCCTTCTCAATATGTAAACATGACCTGGATTACATACATGCGTATTCTCGTCCTACTACTCAACTCAAACCTTCTTAACCTGTAAACACCATCTGGATCACATACACGCGTATTCTCCTCCTATTACTCAACTCAAACCTTCTCAACCTGTAAACATGACCTGGATTACTACATGCGTATTCTTGTCCTATTTCTCAACTCAAACCTTCTCAACCTGTAAACATGACCTGGATTACTACATGCGTATTCTTGTCCTACTACTCAACTCAAACCTTCTCAATATGTAAACATGAATTGGATTACATACGAGGGGTTTCTCGCCCTAATACTCAATATTTGAAGCATTAAACCTGTAAACAGAAGTTATGGATCTAATTCGAGCGTTTTCTCATCCTACTCTTCAACTCAAACCTACTAAACCTGTAAGCATGACCTGGATTACGGTTCAAACAAGACAGAACTTCAAAAGGACGACTTTCACAGCTTTATATTCACAAAGAACAGAAAGGAAAAGAGTCAGTGCTGTGATTTTGAAAAAAGTATCCTATGGGAGGGATGATGGCCTTCCCCCCCCCCCCTTCACTAAGATTCTCATTTTCCCCTTTTTAAACTTAGAGCCATAAAATTTTGCTATTTATGGTTAAATTTATATTCAAAAACTTTATTCTTTTTTTACCCAATCCCAGCCCCCACCCTCTCTTCATTTTGCTTGCTACAAAAGCAAAATTAAAATTCACAATTAAAATCACCTCCTGTTTTCAGAGAATCAATGGATAAAATTATACCTCATATGTAGTATTATCTTAAGCTGCTTATTATAAATCACAAATGTTTTATTCTCTATTTTAACAAAGTCAATAAATAGTAAACAGCTTCAGTGCAAAAATACATAAAACAATAAATTTCCATTATTTGTATTTTTATGCTATTATTTATGTAAATGATAATTGCTCCAAAGGAATTGAGTTTTTGCCACAAGCTCAAATTTTCTAATCCCCAATCTTAGAAACTTGACGGTGTAAACCTTTTATATTTAAAACTTAGACTATTTAATATAACAGAATTTATGGTCTGAAATATCAGAGGTCTACAACAAGATATAGTGATTATAAAATTAGAGTTGGTGGCAGAAACTCAATTCCTTCGAATAAACTTTTTCATTACACTTTTACGTTCTCTTATACGTTAGAAAAGGCCCAAGTAAGGGGTTTAGGACACACCTATTTAAAACTCTAAAGGGAAGTGAGGATGTATGAAAGAGACGGCTGGGATTGATAAAGGAAGATAGTTGGGATGCATTAAAAGAGAAGGTTGGTATATGTAAAAGAGACGGTTGGGATTGATAAAGAATATAGTTGGTATGAATAAAAGGAATGAAAGAGAGGGTTGGGATGCATAAAAGGAGAAGGTTGGTATAAATGAAAAAGGAGATAGTTGGGATGCATAAAAAGAGAAGTTGGGATAAATGTAAGAGACCTTTGGGATGCATAAAGGTAGAAGGTCGGAAAAATGAGAGAGACGGTTTGGATTAATAAAAAGAGAAGTAGGGATAAATAGTAGAGAAGATTAGGGTTCATAAAACAGAATGTTGTATTACATATAAGATAATGCTGTAATATATATACAAACCTAAAATTGTATCAGGTACGATTGAGCTGAGTAGGTTAGGTTGTCGATTTAAATCCGTATATAGACGCCCAGGGAGTTGAAACTACTCGAGATAGAGATCGATTAGAGCAGTATGAGAAATCTTTTGAATGAATTTCCGCACATTTATGGAAAAGGTGGGAAAGAAATTATACATAAATATTTTTATTGATTCAAAAAAGAATTCGGAAAAACAAAGGATAATGTTGGGAAGGATGGAAGAAAAGGTTGGGATGGATGAAAAAGAAGGTTTGGATGGATAGAAGAAAGTAATGGGATGGTTAAGGAGAAGGATGGGATGAATGGTGGACAAAGGTAGAATGGATTTAAGAAAAGGTTGGGATGGATAAAGGAGAAGATCTGTGGTTGAAGGAAAATGTTAGGACTGATAGAAGAAAAGGATGGATAGGAAATATAATAGGAAAGGATGGGGATGGATAGAAGGGAGGTCAAAGGAATAAAGGAGGCGGTTAGACTCAGGTAACCGATAAGCCCCCCCCCCTGAATACGCCTCTGGTTAGAATGGATAAAGGAACTATAAGATTGCGATGGATTTATAAAGTAATGATAGCGTCAACTTTCTAAAGATCGCGGGTCAATAATAGGGATAAAATCAAATGTGGAGGGACGGAAAGGAACGGCCGGTTGAGATTATGAAGGAGAATGTTAAGGAATTATAAGATAAGATAAGATAAGATAAAGTTTATTGCTAAAATACATGTATCTGTGAACAGAATTACAAATTGATGATTATATTAACAGTACAAGTATAAAGCAATTAGGTGGAAAATAGCTCTTGGCTGTTTTGATTATTTTTTCCACCTAATTTTAATAATGATAACAAAACATTTCAATTAAATAGATTTAAGGAGAACTATTAGAGATCAGGGTGCGAATTTATCTTATGCAAAATATATTATACATTAATATTAGAATAACTAGAGTTTAAAGTAATTTTCTGACATGTACACAACAAATATCAAAGCATATTAAAACATATCTAATTAGTTTTACATGAATAGCAATTCGGTTGTTAGAGTTAGTTAGTTCTGGAAGACGTTTCTTATAGAATAGGGTATGTTACATCGTCTATAATAGTCTACACGTAACATCCCCCCTACTGAACTTCTAACCTACTAGCTTTCCGACCTGCTACAATATCGGACCTACGCCAGCTGTTTAATTTTGTATTATTTGATTGTTATGTTAGGTTAAGACAATTTCTGAGCCGAGCGCTGCGGCTAGGGCGGCTAGGGGGCTGAGCGCCGCGGCTAGGACAGGCTAGGGGCCGGGCGCTGCGGCCACAAGTCAATAAAGCAGCTGTAAAACCATTTGCTAGTAGGTCGGATGTGTAGTATAGCGGATTTGGCGTAGGTAAGAAGTGGAGTATAGCGAATTTGCGTAGGTCGAAAGATACAGAAAAGCACGAATTAAACAATTTTCCTGTAGAATTTGAGAAAATTTCCCCAGAAAATCAATGTTGTAATTAAGTCACTTATTCGATATATCTCCCGCGTTAAATCCAACTTTTAATAAATATCGGTTATTCCAGGGCCCAAATCCCGCGTCTATACAAAGACGACTAACTCAATTTACTTATTACTGGGGCAACTACAAGAAGCCGCCCCTGTAAAAATAGTTTATCAAAAATGAATGACAAACTGCTAGTAGAGGTCCAGGGACAAAACGGAGCCTACTATAAAGCCTATGTAACCGATATATTTGAAGATGAGATTAAACTCGAGTTTGAACTTGATTGGCAGCCAGAAAGCCGGTTCCCATTCTCTAGAGTTCGGCTACCCCCTCCCACACCGTCCATACCGGCCGAATTTACCATAGGACAAGAAATAGAGGTAAAACTACTTTAATTTATCATTAATACATGTTTTATTGTTTTTGTTTAGAAAAATGATTTTGAAATTTCTTTAAACTATTCAACAAAACAATGTAAGGTACTGAAGATAATACTAAATCGTATTTTTTCAGGTTTTCTCTAGAGCTAGTGATCAAGAATCATGTGGATGGTGGAAAGCTGTTGTAAAGATGATCAAAGGAGATTTCCATGTTGTGGAATATCTAGGTGAGCATTTACATTCATAAGGAATCCAGTTCTTGTCATAAACTCTGCTGACAATTTCTTGATTGACTATCATGATTGACTATCTGAATATAACTCTGTTTCAACATGTTAGAATGGGGTTTTAAGGTTGTGAAATAACCTCTTAATAATTGAATATCTTATAATAACGATATTTTGAGGATGGGAAACTACATACACAGAGATAGTCCCCTCTGATCGGCTGAGAACCAAGAGTACGGAACCTCCCATCACCAATCGGACGTTCTTCTCCTTTAAGCTAGATGTACCCCACGAACTACAGGTTAACAGAATTTAATGCATTGTAATTGTTGATATTGTGTCACATTGTGTCATATTGTGTTACATTGTTTGTATTTTGAAATTTTCAGTATTTTAAATGGTGTATTTTTTAAAAACGGGCTTATTTTTAGCTGTTCAGTGATATTAATATTCATAGAGGTGCGCTGCATGCTAAAGAAAAATTAGAATGAAATCTTAGAATTTTTAATCTTTCTTGACTTAATCTCTCCTTGTTATTTACCCTATTTTTAGTCTGAAAATTCCCTTTTTTAAATTTTAATTCAGTCGGAAGTTGCGCCTAGATGTTTCCGGCCATCTTTTTTCTCACCTTTTGATTCGAATTCTGAGGGAATAAAAAAGTATGAAGTTCAAAATATTGTGTTTTGGTGTATAAGTTAATGAGTTTTCGTGTTATCTTAAATCCTGTTTTACCATTTAACTAGTTTTGAAAAGTAATGCTTAATAGTTAATAGGAAATGAGCACAACCAATAGGCAGTGATTTTAATGTTCTGCTTTAAAACTTTATAATTCAAAGATGCAGATTTCTTCTTTTTATTATTTTAAGTAAATAATCATTAACCAATGAATATATTGAATAATAAAATCATAATTTCAGGAGTTCTCTAAAGATGAGAAGGCAGAAGATATTCATCAGGAGTTTAAGAAAGCTATTGATGCTTCTCTAGTTAAATATCTTCCAGATCAGGTTTGTATTAATTGTTAATGAATTAACCCCCCCCCCCCCCCTTGGTACCCCTCTTCTATCTAAATAGGTCTACAATCTATATGTAATCAATCAGACTAATCCAGAACTAACTTTATTTCAGTGTTTTCTATCTTTGATCAATAAAACTAAATATTTTTCAGGTTGTTATATCTTGATCAACGGAACTAATTATTTTTCAGGTTGTTTTATACGTGATCATCTAAACTAATTATTTTTCAGGGTGTTCTATTTTTGATCTATTGAACTAAATTATAATTAGGGTGATATATCTGGAATCAACTAAATATTTATGTTTCAGGGCGTTCTATCTGAGTGATCAACCAAACTAATTATATCTTAGGGTGTTCTATCCGTGATCAACTTAACTAATCATATTTCAGGGAGTTCTTTATGTGATCAACTGAACTAATTATGATTCAGAGTGTTCTATCTGTGATCATCTCAAATAATTATATTTCAAGGTGTTATCAAGTGAACTAATTATAATTCAGGGTGTGATCAACTAAACTAATTATATTTCAGGGTGTTCTATCTGTGATCAACTAAACTAATTATATTTAAAGATGCGATCAACTGAACTATTTATATTTCAGGGTGTTCTATCTGTGATCAACTAAACTAATTATATTTCAAGATGCGATCAACTGAACTATTTATATTTGAGGGTGTTCTATCTGTGATTACCCGGTACGAGGGTTCTCAGAAGAGAGCTGGTATATTGCAGGAAATGCATTACCGGAATATATCTCAGCGACTAATGCTCCTAAGGAAGTAAGTATGTTTGAGTATGGGGATCCGGGCATTCCATTTTTTGGGTCAGATTTAGATTTTACGCTCAAGTTTTAGATAAAAAAGTTAATTGAATGATGGGGTTTCATTTAATCGTAAATCCAAGAAAGAAGTAAACAAATATTTTAATCATTAAGTAAATCTAACAGGCAAAGTTCTTGGGAAAATAAATTTTTTTTATTTTGGGCAAATTTTTTATTCTTTAAATTGTTATATACAGACGGACGATTGTTTGAATGAGACTTTTCCCATTTTTGAGTACTAAAGAATCAAAATCCTTATCTAGCTATGGGCCCCTTGTCAGACCTAATTTAGTATAGTTACTACGGGGTTGGGGAGTGGACGTAGGGCACCCATAGAGTCTCATCTGATTTTTTTTTCTTCAGCTTTTAAGATGAGACCAAACTCAATTCCATCTGATATACTTTTAAATCAGCTTACAAGCATCAGGGGTGTATATTTTCCTAAAAATAATCATCCCCCTTTTAGAAAATATCTTCTTCCCCGTAAGTTCTATTAGATTTTTTAGGGATTTTCGCTGAATCAGGGGAAAATGAATGATTTTTTAGGGAAAGTAAATGATTTTTCAGGGAAAATGAATGACTTTTCAGGGAAAATAAATGTTTTTTTTCAGGGAAAGTATATGATTTTTCAGGGAAAATGAATAATTTTTCAGGGAAAATGAATGACTTTTCAGGGAAAATGAATGATTTTTCAGGGAAAATAAATGTTTTTTTCAGGGAAAGTAAATGATTTTTCAGGGAAAATGAATGATTTTTCAGGGAAAGTAAATGTTTTTTTTCAGGGAAAGTAAATGTTTTTTTCAGGGAAAGTAAATGATTTTTCAGGGAAAATGAATGATTTTTCAGGGAAAATTAATGATTTTTCTTGGGAAAATAAATGATTTTTCTTGGGAAAATAAATGATTTTTTGGGTAAAAAGTATTAAATAGACTGAAAATCTTGCATTTTGATGTCCCATTTGTTCATTTTTCTACCCCAATCCATTAAATATATATATCCATGTTAAACTTGCAGTTGTATTTTTAACTAATTTTTCTGTTATTTTTCTTTTTTTATCTCAATCTTTATTTTTCTCCCTATTCTAGAACAGAAGAAGCTGCGAAGTGTCTTGAAGCTACTAAACTCCAATCTTCTACTCAGTTTACTCAGGAGTTTACAGTCATGGAATCCTTAATGGGGTGAGAGTTAATACATTTTTATTCATTAAAGCGACTGCAATTCTCCACAACGGTAATTTTAAAACCTAAATATCGGAGCATTGACGGCAAAGAAATCTGAGTTTTTATCTCATAAACTTAACCGGAGATCTGGCATTCACTAGCACGCATACAGTTAGACCTCAACACAGCTGACTTATTTCACAAAAATCTCGAATAATCTATGACAACCGCGGGTTTGAAAATTTAAATGATTATAACCGTTTTCTGAAACTTCCGGAAAATATAATAACAATAACTAGCGTTTCTTTGGATTAAATAAGGACAAGTCCGTCAGCCTGGATCATTCAACGTTTAAAAGTTACTAATGTGAATCGGCCATGCCACTCTTCGAAAAGGGGGGGGGGGGTTCTGCTTCTGCAGTAAAGTGAGAAAAGAACCAATTCAAATTTCATCTGCAAGGATGGTGGTTTTTTTTTTTATAAAAATAGGACTGAAATTTTGTTCTATTGTTTTGTATAAATAAATATTGTTAAGTATTTCTAAATTATTTAGATTAGCGATTGGTGCACACGGACAGAATATCCAGCAAGCAAGGAAAGTTGAAGGAATACTAAATGTTGAAATAATAGAAGATTCGTGTACATTCAAGGTAAACCTTTTAATCAACCCTCTTGCCATCCTATTCTTAATTCTTAGAAAATTCCGGAAACGCCATTCCTGTAAGATAGTTTCCGGAATTTTAGACGCATTTTAGACGCACCGTAGCCTATCCAAGCCGCAGCGCCGCCCTCTGTCTATCCGATTCGCAACCCTCGGCGCCTTCTAACTAAAATAAATTGGAATTTAATTTGATCATTTTCCGTAATATTGGTCTATTCCGGATATAGCCGACTTTTATTACGCCTTTCTTACATCTCCTTGGTTCAGGTGGTCGGTGAGACGAAGGAGAGTGTGGATAAGGCCAGGTTGATGTTGGAGTACTCCGAGGATGCTCATCAGGTTCCCAGGAACCTTGTCGGGAAGGTTATAGGGAAGAACGGTCGGTTTATTCAAGAGATCGTCGATAAATCTGGTGTTATCAGGTAAAAATCTAGTTCTATTATTTATTACATTTGAATTTTAATATATATTTAAAAGTTCCCCATTAATAGCATCTGATCAGCTGTGAAGTATGTACTGTGTTCTAAGACCTTTTTCTTATTCCCAAACCATTGAAAATCACGCGTATGTATTGTACCCGCCCCCCTTTTTTAAAATCATTTTTGCCACCTCGATTTTAGGTATGTTTGCGTAAAGCGGCAAATTTTTTTAGGGGTTTATTGGCTGAATTGGGGGGAAAAAATTTAAAGTAAGAAATTAAAGTATTTGTGGGTTAAAAGCAGTGCTTAGGATCCAATTAATTTTGATGCGGATCCGGATCCTGGATCCGCACTGGAAAAAAATGGATCCGGATCCAGGTCATTTCTTTAAGATTTACTGAAATTTTTTAACAAAAATAATTTTCAAATTTTTGTTTTATTTTTTTCGGTTAATTTTATCCTTAAACTTGATGAACCATTCAAAAATGAGGAAATTTTAATAATCTCTCTATTTTCAAAAGTTCAGATTTGGGGTTTAGGAATAAAAAAGGTTTTTTTTTGCAGTTTTTGGTTGATTTTTTACCCCTCCGGGATCCGGATCTAGGAAGCTAAAATCTTGAGGATCCAACGGATCCTAAGCACTGGTTAATGTATTTAGAAGTTAAAAAAAAATTTCCCCAAGAGCATCGAAATTAAAAAATTCTTGCAAAAATATCCCCCTGTTAGAAATTTTCCCGAAGCTTTTTTTTCTTTTTTTTCCCGTTCAATATTGTAAATTATTTCAGATTTAATTCCCGCTCCTGATACACTCAGAGGAATGCATTTTGTTGAAAGTATCAACCCCCTCCCCTCCTCCCTACCAACCCACGTCTACAAGCTTAATTTTTCCCCAGTATGTGTTTACTTGGATCGTATTCTTATTTTTTGTTTTTCCAAGTGGGAAAATAATGAATTTCTGGGTTAAAAGTATAGAAGAAAGAAGAAAAACATGGTAGTTCATATTAAATTTTAATTCCTAACCCCCCCCCCCCCCCCTTCCATCGTCGAAAATCATTTCACCCTCACTGATGGGATTTCATTCTATAAAACACGCTCCTAACTGAACCCCGTTTAGCTGGTACTGACTGCTCTCTAATATTGTAGATTGAAGATAGAAGGGGATAATATAATTTATATATCTAGAGTGAAGATAGAAGGGGATAATATAATATTGTTTTTATACCTAGAGTGAAGATAGAAGGCGATAATGAACCTGAACCCTCTGTACCCAGACTTGAAGGAAATGTACCGTTTATATTTGTAGGAACTAAGGTAATAACATTTTTTGGGATTTGCATACGATAAATACAGGGTGTCCATTTTGTATAGAATTATCTCCATTGCATGGGGGGGGGGGTAATTTAAAGAACTTTTTTTATGGAATTAAGTAAAATGTAATTAGCTTTGAAATCTTGTTTCCAATTCTTCAGTGCAACGGAAGGATCGTTGGCTTCTTAATTTCTTAATAAAAATATCAACTGAGCTTAGAACTCTTAGGTTGGTTACTCATAATCCTATTGCTTGATCTCGATATCCACTGTGGGCATTTATATTTTGAGGATCAGTGCCCTTAATTCATATCAGTTATCCCTTTAGGGTACAATTATAATACGGTTATCGAATAAAGATTAAATTAATCTGCAGATTACCGAAAGCATTGTGGATAGGTACCTATCCACAATTCTAGAGTTCCCAGCTCTGAACATAACTAAAAAGATATCAGTTATAACAATTGTAAGGTTTAGAATCCTTGAAGACAGTAATCATTCCACAGTTGTTTTCTGATTGTACTATTTTAGAAAGTTTAGTTCGATAAGAAAAGCATTGATTCAAGGAATAATTATTTTCAAATTTAATTAATAAACCTGAAATTTTACGAAACCACTTTAACCGAAAGTTTGTTCAATGGATAAAAACTTAATTTTAAAATTAAAATTCTGATTTTTAAGAAAAGTAAAGGTATCCAAGTAGTGACTTAAAACTTATAATACAGTAATGATTGTTTTAACATTAGCATTACTTTAAAATTAGCTTTAAAGCAATATTTATCATTTAATTATTATTTAATGCTTTCAGGACGCTATAGAGAATGCAAATCTTCTTCTAGAATATCACATTAGTCATCTAAAGCAGGTAGAATATTGGGGTTTTATGGGTATTTTTAAAAATTGTAAAAATGGAATTTACTTGACGAAAACTAGTAAAATTTTGGTGAAAATGACATATTTCTCAATGGGATAATACTATTACCACTAAATCTTCGTATCATATCACACTTCCATCTATCTAACTATTAATCTATCCATCTATCTATCTATCTATAAATATATCTTGCAACCTATCGTTATCAATTTTATTTTAATCCATCTCATCAATCTATCTTTTTATCTATTTATCTATCATCTATCGTTATATCTATCATCTTTCTATCAATCTATTTATCTGAAGGTTGAACAGCTGAGGCAGGAGAAGCTAGAGATTGATCAGCAGCTTAGAAGCGCGGTGCGCACACAATATCAACATTCCAGCACACAATCATACGAGGTAAATATTAGATAATTAATACATTGATCCTACACTTACAGGGGGCATTGGAAATTTGGCCCCCCTCACCTGGCAGTGGTCGGGGACGGGGGGGGGGTCTATTCGATTCACTAAAAATTAATCTATTATTTTTAAGGAAAATGTAAGAATTTTTGTGTAAAAAATAACAAAGGGATGGAAAATCCTTCTCTGTTCTCCCAGAGTATCATGAAAATCATAATTCTTGTAAATATATACCCCAAAATCAAAAATGTAATCTGTCTTATTATTCTTGTATATACCGTAATGTTTTAGTTACATGAATTGTGAATTTCTTTACTCAAATCCATGTTTTTTTCAGAACGAATCTTCCAGGGGCTATAGAGGAGACAGGGGGCGTGGTCGAGGACGAGGGAGGGGGCGAGGTGGATTTGACCGGGGTGACCGGGAGGGTAGTGAGATGAGTGAACGAGGTCGAGGAGGATATCGAGGTAGATACTACAGAGGAGGGGGTAGCGGATACAGAGGTAACAGAGGTCGGGGGGATTTCAACAGAGAGGAGACCAGAGGACGAGGACGGGGTGCTCCGGATAGGAAGGACGATAAGGACAGGCGAGGAGACGACAGACGGGACGAAAGACGCGGAGATGATAGACGGGACGACAGACGTGGCTCTGAACCCAGAGTAGATAGGCGGGAGAACGGGAGAGATGAGAGACGGGAGAATGGTCGTGATGAAAGATGGGAGAATGTGAGAGAGGAGAGGCGGGAAGAAGATAAAAGACCCGCCGGCAGCGGCGGCGGCTTGAACAAGAAGAAGGAAACGGCACCGCGGAAGTGACTTAACTCATTTTTCCTGTACAATTTTTCATATTAATGCACGCTGTAGTAGCGGCAAACTTATTTGTACTAGTCCTAATTTCTTTTATGTGTAAATTACCCATTTTCAAATGATACATGAAGAAAAGTTAAAATTTCCCGCACCCAACACATCATATTCATACACGGGTTTTTACTATAGTACATGTTGCATACTCCCGTATTTGCTTACTCTCTTGACTCCATTTAAGTATTGTTTAAATCAAATATAACTGCCATTTATTAAATTCTTTTAATTCGGAGGCAATGAAGAAATCATATTCCAGTTTAAGAAAATATATGTCGTGATTTTCCTATGTGACATAATTGTAATTATTTCAGAAAAGGAATTCCAGGGCCCACGAATTTAGCTCAGATTAAAGACGACATTTTGTCAACTGCAGAATCTTTCTTCTCTAACTTCCGGTGAGAGAGTTGTTGGAACTTGTCTGGAGTGGACACAACACAATTGGAGCAATGTCGGGACAAAATGAAATTTTGTCGAAGGCCGAAGATGTTGCCGACAAGGTGATTGTTTTATCTTATCCTATTAAAGTTTATATTTACAGTGACGTGTGAATCTAGAATGAAGATCTAGGAAATCTTGTGAATACGTGTTGTAAGATTTCTTCTACAGATGGTTTCCAACTTTTTCTCTCCTTTTTCTTAAACATTTTAAAAATATTTTTCTTTTGTTTTTTAGCAGCTTAATAAAAATGACTTTTTGTGTACAGCTTTAAATTGTTAACTGGTATTTTGGGGTTTCGATATATTCAAATGTGAAATGTGTAATAATCATTATTTAGAACAAATTTGCTGTTTTTCGTTTTCTAACTTTCGAAAATCGATTTGTTCAATGGGGTCTGTCCTAGAGAACATTGAATTTTATTTCTTAGTATTTTAGGGTATAGTTAGGTTAAGACAATATTTGGGCAGAGCGCTGCGGCCAGGACGGGCCTTCCATTTGTTGAATTTTAAATTAAAATTAGTATATATTTAGGGTTAGGTTAGATTAAGACACTTGCTGGGCCTAATATTTCTCAATGCGCCAACTTGTTTTTAACTGAGCTGCAATTTTCATTTTAATTGATTTAAATGTTAAGATTTATTTATTTATATGTTTTTACATCTTTTAGTGCAATCGCTATTAAATTATGGACATTATGGACAGACGTCATCGTTCTCTCTTATTATTTACCTATATTTTTTTTTGAGTTTTCTTCGTGCCCCAGTTTCCATTAACGGTTTCAAATATCTCAAATTTAATTTGTCCCAAAATTTTCATAATTGGCGTTTTTTATCAATAATAAAAAAATTGGACCTAATCGGTTCAGTCCTTCTGACTTGAATTGGATCCAGAAGAACAAACAGACAAACAAATATAATGGATAAAGCTGTTTTGTACGTAGGTTTCTTCACTGGTGCGTCTATCCATAGTAGTGCGTCCACCTGTGAGCACGTAATTCTTAGTAAATAATACATTTCCTCCGGATTAAATCAGACTATTTATTTAAATCTGATATGTTTAGGTCACCCGGAGCTCTAAACACATCCTACCCCACTTGGCCAGGTTTTGTCTCGTCTCAACCTTCTTCGAGGACGGAGTAAGAATGTGGGTTCAGTGGTCAGAGCAGAGGGAGTACATGGATATATCTTGGGGATGTGGTTGGTAAGATTTTAACCCTTAAAGGGGGGGGGGTTATCATTAAAAATGATGATAACTTCTCATTGTTTTAAGCACACACTGCCCCTGTTATTGTACTGTGTCTTAATCAAATAGTTGCTTGTTAAAACTTCAGAAGTTATTTTTATCAGAAGCCCAAAATGCCTCAAAAGTTCGGAAATATCCGAAGAATCTTGCATTTTCTGAATGAAAATTTGTATACTTGATACTCCTCATTTTGTTATTGATCAGAAAGCATTCTGTTATGATTAACAATTCCAGTGTAGAGCTGTTAAAATTCCAATTTATGACACCATACATTTACGAACCATTTTGATTTATTTATTCTAAGGTTTTGGTTAATTTTTGGCGCTACCCGTAACATTTTTATTCTTTTTTTCTAGTTATTTCCTTTTTTTGCGCAACAAGATGCTTTGTGGTGGGGGGGGGGGGGGGAGAATAGGAATTAAATATTCAGGTCCATGCCCACCCTGTTTTCCTGTAATATTTGAGTTTATCACCTCCCTGTTTATCTTCAATATTTAGGTTTATTGTCACCCTGTATTTCTAAAATATTTAGGTTTATCGCCACCCTGTTCGTGTGTATCAACCTGGTGGGTCAACTGGGTGCTGTAGCGATGGTTCTAACCAGATACAAGGTTGATATCGCCTGCGGGGTTCTTTTCTTCATCGTTGTACTCCAGGTATACGTTATTCTTGTACTCTAGGTACACTTTATCCTTGTACTCCTGCTACTCTTTATCCCTATACTTCCGGTATACTTTATCCTTGTACTCGAGGTACACTTTAGTCTTGTACTTTAGGAACACTTTTCCTTGTACTCCTTTTACACTTCTTCCTTGTACTCCAGGTACACTTTATTCTTGTACTCAAGGTACACTTTATTCTTGTACTCTAGGTACACTTTATTCTTGTACTCCAGGTACACTTTATCCTTGTTCTCCAGGTACGTACTCCAGGTACACTTTATCCTTGTGCCCTAGGTACACTTTATCCTTGTACTCGAGGTACACTTTATCCTTGTACTCCAGGTATACTCTAACCTTGTACTCCAGGTACACTTTATCCTTGTTCTCCAGGTACACGTGACTTTATCCTTGTACTCGAGGTACGTACTCCAGGTACACTTTATCCTTGTGCTCTAGGTACACTTTATCCTTGTACTCCAGGTACACTTTATCCTTGTACTCCAGGTGGTACACTTTATCCTTGTACTCCAGGTAAACTTTATCCTTGTACTCCAGGTAAACTTTATCCTTGTATTCCAGGTAAACTTTATCCTTGTACTCCAGGTAAACTTAATCCGACAGGTATACTTCAACCTTGTTCTCCAGGTATACTTTATACTACTCCAGATGCACTTTATCCTTGTACTTCAGGTACACTTTATCCATGTACTCTAGGTATACTTTATCATTATCATTGTACTCAGGTATACTTTATCCTTGTACTCCAGGTATATTTTATACTACTCTAGGTACACTTTATCCTTGTACACTAGGTACACTTTATCCTTGTACTCAAGCACTGGCTTGCACTCCTGGTGCTACGAAATACTTTAAGAATTCTAAAAACTGTCTCAAATTACAAATTTAATTGTATATCATTCTTTTTATTTGTATTCTCGTCGATTAATCCTGTCATATAAGATAAGGGTTAATATGATAATAGAAACTTTAAATTATAGAATTTATATCTAGTTCTACTGTTTCGTTAAAGAACTGAAACTCTGATGTTGTTTGCAAATCCCCACATTTTTATCTGTTTTTTTTTCGAAAAAGCTGATAAGGATTTACTTTTTCAAGAATCCCCTCCCTTGTTTAAATAATAAGGTTTGGGTCATCAAAGAACTTTACCGTTCATCTCAATATTTACTACTGCGGTATCTCCATCTCATGCAGACATACGAATCCATTTATCCAATGTGGGTCATTATCCTATGAGTCGAAATCCAGGTTTCACGACTAACTATACTTCACTGACAGTTCCGATCTCCGGAACAATAAACCCGCCCATGTTGAAAAATTAAAAACAAGAAATTTTAATTAATTATTAATTGTATGTGTTTAGACTATAGCGTACAGTATCCTATGGGATATCCAGTTCCTGTTCCGAAACCTTGCTCTGATCGGGGCACTGCTCCTAGTCCTGGCGGAGTCTAGGGTTGAAGGGAAATCTCTGTTTGCCGGAGTTCCATCCCTAGGAGAGAACAAACCCAAGATGTATCTCCAGGTAAGAGTTAAACCCAGCTCTAGGTGTGAACTCAAATGCAAATAATCTCAGCTTAAAACTTTTAATTACAGTTCTTTCAAGTGAATAATAGAATGAAAGTCGTCTTTTGTTTGTTTTATTTATATTTAAAGTTATATGGCACTGTTAAGAGTTGTGAGGGGGGGATTCAGTTTTTGGGTTGCTACAGATAATTTATTCAAATTTTTTATCCTTGCAAGGCCTCAAATTAACATAAAGTTTACTGTTATTCACTTCAAAAAATGCGTAAGCAAACGCTTTCGTAGAAAGTTTCGAAATTCTAAGTTTTCATTCTAACAACAAATATTTCATGCAAAAAAGAGCAGTTGTGCTCTGTTATTTACAATTTATTTAATTTAGTTGGCTGGTCGTGTTCTACTAGTCTTCATGTTCCTTACTCTTCTACGCTTCGAGGCTTCAGCAATGCAGGTTTTCAAGTTTTTAATTTAAAATTTACAAGTTATGCTATCGAAAACATCGTGACATAAATTTCAGGGGTGTATAATTTCTTTAAAAATCATTTCTGGACGCAACATTTTGTACGGCTTTCTTCTCTGAATGGGGGAAAGTGTTTCGGATCCATATCATTTTGATTCGGATTCGGATCCGGATCCGCGGATCCGCATCCTTGATGATGGATCCGGATCCGGATCCTGATACAGACCGGATCCGGATCCGAAACACTGAGGGGAACATAAATTATTTTAGTTAGAAATTAATGAATTTTCGAAAAGGATGGAGAAAAACTTACTTTTGAATTTCAAATTTTTTATTTTTCCCTCAATTTACCAAACTCCATTTGTAATTCTTAAAATTATACACCCTTGATGTTTTTCGGAATGAATCCTAAAATCATTTGACTTAACCTCGCAATCTAATTTAAAGCTGAAAAGTTTCAAGGATTCAATAATTCTTTCGCAGATTTTACGTTAGTCAAGCTAAACAAAATTTATGATTCGTAAAACTAGAAAGCTTTTTCAACATTTCCTATTTGGGCATTAATCCAAGCATCTTTCATTTACATAAATCTACAAACAAACAAAACTGTTGGATTTTTGAATCAGCATTTTACCAATTTAGATGTTCTTTTTTCTAATTTTTTTATTATATTCAGCCACTCATTCACTCGTAATTATTTTATAACTTTACAACAATTCAATATTTGTTTTTCTGGAAACAAATAACATTTTTTATCCTAAAACCTTTGTATTTGAAATCTTGGGATCAAGTATTGATCTTGATCTTATGCATACTTACGGATAAATTTAACTCCTTTGTTTTCCCGTCTTGGGCATTATCTTGTTAATTGAGGGAAATTCATCCCGAAATTTGTACGTGCCCACATTGGATATCGATATCAAGCATCATTCAAGATTAATGATACGTTTTTATAATCTTAATCTAGGATAAACTAACGAAACAAAAGATAATTTTTGACGGAAATATTACTTCTAAGGTAAATACGCCTGCACCAAAAAAACGCACAAAAATTATGTTACAATAGTTCGAACTTTTGCCTTTTAATTCTCCGGATCATCTTATTCGTATTCGGACTTGGTGATTAATTTAAGAACTCTTCGTTTTCCTGTGTTAGTCGATGGTCCTACCCCTCACTTTACGTTTTTTTAATCTATAGCGAATTGGAAATATTTAAGATTTTGTTGTTTAGATTGTGCAAAACCTGGTTGGATCTCTCCTGATGGTTCTGGTAGCTGTAGGATACAAGACGAAGCTGAGTGCCCTGGTCCTGGTCACCAAAAATGTACGGATCTTTAAAAAAATGTACGGATTGGTTTAAAAAAATGTACGGATTGTACGGATTTTTTAAAAAAAAATTGTACGGATTGTTTTTCGAAAATTGTACGGATTGTACGGATTTCTTCTGAAAATGTACGGATTTTTGTACGGATGGGTTCAAAAAAGTTTTGGCCACCCTGAAAATTTGATTTTTGAAAATTACAAAATCCACGAAATTTTTTGTTCGTTTTTGTTTACAATGTATTCTAAGAGAACATGTTCAAAATTGAAATGGAAGATGGTTGCGAAGCGCCGTAAAAGCCTAGTCTATACATATGCTTTGCTTGTTTGTCCGTAAATGTCAAAAATGGCTGAACCGATCGGGCCTAAATTTTGTGTGGTACCTCACATATCCCTAGGGAAGGTTTATAGATGATCAAAATTTTAAAATTTTGCCTCAACAAAATTCGATTTGCATTAGACTTTAAAAATCCACGACATTTTTTCATAAAATCCGCAAAAAAGAATTGTTTTTGTTTTGCAATGTATACAAAGAGAAAAAAATGTTCAGTTGAATTAGAAGACGGGTGCAGCCTAGTAGATATATATTTTAAAAAAATAAAAATATCAGAAAATCACTTACGTTCAGAAATAATTAACAGTAAAATGGCAATCTGTTTCTGAAATTGATTTTGATTAATGATTGTTTAGACCCTCTCTGTGATTGGAGGCCTACTGATGGTGGTATCCCTGGGTCCAGGAGGAGTATCTATGGATGAATCTAAGAAGAAATGGTAAAATCTCAAGTCCTGCGTCACAAAGCATTTATCTCCTTCAATGACTGTTCCTGAGTGTTGTGAAACATATCTCAGATCCTTCTCATCCAACCTTTCTCAGCTCCGGGGTCCATGTTAGAATAATTCAAGGATCATACATAGCTTCCTCTTCTACCCGGAGTAAGGTTTCAAGATTTCTAATGAATCAGCTTTCTCTCTTTATAAAAATCAAAAATTAATTAATGTTAAATCAATGTCCTTATTTTAATTAAAAACGTGGTTCCTTTTTTGAAATAATCTTCTCTTCATTCCTTAATTCCTACTTTACCCTTCACCGCCGTCAGAGCTTAACCCAGTTGGACGGTGTTGTCCTTGTAAGTACAGTTGCCAATGTGATTTATATGTTTACGAGCTGTGAAAAGTAAATTTTACCAGATGTTCTTTTATTTTTAGGGTTTGGGTTAACTTCCAACAGATTTATCTTTATTATTTAATAAATGTTTTATTGTGTGCTGACAGCCGTTTGTTATGAAACTTGTAATATGTATTTATTAAATGTGTTTTTATATTAAAACTGGTTTCTCTTTTATTGTATTTTTTTAAAGTGAGTTTGCTACTTCTGAAAGTAGATTTGTTATTTGAAGTGAGTTTGCTACTTATTTAGCAAGTTTCCTACTTCTAGTTTACTACTCACAAAAGCTAGTTCGTTACTTTTTCAAAGAGAGTTTGCTAGTTTTTATAGAGAGCATCTATTTAACAGAGTTTGCTATCCAATGACCGGAAGTAGGTTTAAATATAGATTTAGTCTGGTAAAGGTAAAATAAGGCATTTAAGCAGTGCGGCTGAGGACTCGGGCAGTATGTTTAAAAGCCCCGATTTGAGCCGAAAGTTAGGGGCTAGTGTCAGTCAAAAAACTTGGAACAGCCTCAGACCAATACTTTTAGAGTCGTCTTTAAAAACGTAAGGGGGGGGTCCAAGGCTCCCCCCTCCAAAAAAGTAGAAAGAGGAGGGTAAGTTGTCTTGTATCAAAAAAGTAGAAAGAGGAGGGTTAGTTGTCTTGTATCAAAAAAGTAGAAAGAGGAGGGTAAGTTGTCTTGTATCAAAAAAGTAGAAAGAGGAGGGTNATTGCAAAAATAAAACTAAACCTTTGCACAAAGAAGTGAGAGGAATTATTAAAATCAATCAAAAAAGTAGAAAGAGGAGGGTAAGTTGTCTTGTATCAAAAAAGTAGAAAGAGGAGGGTTAGTTGTCTTGTATCAAAAAAGTAGAAAGAGGAGGGTAAGTTGTCTTGTATCAAAAAAGTAGAAAGAGGAGGGTAAGTTGTCTTGTATCAAAAGTTAATTTCCTAGCTCTAGTCTCTAAGATCAAGGAAATCATTTTGAATTTCTAGTTGATCTAATAAAGATTTATGATATTCCATTCAAGATTGACTCCCTATGTTTTATTTCCATTAGATAACAAGCAAATACATCAAGGGAGGTAAAGGAAAATGAACATATAGTCTCCTTGAGAACAATAGAAGGTTAAGAGAGGGATATATGGTAAAGGAAAATGAATACAAGGATATTAATAAATAACATATATTATTTTTAAAATTTACAAGCTTTGTAAACTTTTTCCTGTTTTTTTTTGGTATCTACATTATATATGGATTTTATTAACCTTTTGCACTCGTAACTAATGGCAAGAAATTTTTTTACGATTTTTACGAGAAGATTGTACTGATGTTATTGGTCAGAAAATTCAGGAATCGCTAGAAAACTTTTTTGGCGGAAAATTTTCCAAAATTTCCAGCTTCCGGCGGAAATTTCCGTTACGGAAAATTACCGGAATTCCGTTTTCAGACTCATCTTTTCCGGTAGTAAAAATTTCCGCTGGACAAATTCTGGCGGAAAAATTGACTTTTAAGAATTAGCTCCTTAGACCATTCAAGCTATCCCCAAAATCTTCAGAAGGCGTGTCCTCCGCCTTCGCCTATGCTCTTTCCCTAGCAAAATAATATTTAAACAACTTCTGGCAATTTTTGTAGATTATTATAAATGTCGTCTTCGTAATTTTCCACCTAAATATTTTAGCGAACTATCGATTAAATTGATCGATGATTATTTTTTTGTATTACTGCAGAGCCGTACTAAGGCGTCAATGGGGGATCAGCCCCCCCGTTGTCTTGTATCAAAAAAGTAGAAAGAGGAGGGTTAGTTGTCTTGTATCAAAAAAGTAGAAAGACGCTTTCGTAGAAAGTTTCGAAATTCTAAGTTTTCATTCTAACAACAAATATTTCATGCAAAAAAGAGCAGTTGCGTTCTGTTATTTACCATTTATATAATTTAGTTGGCTGGTCGTGTTCTACTAGTCTTCATGTTCCTTACTCTTCTACGCTTCGAGGCTTCAGCAATGCAGGTTTTCAAGTTTTTAATTAGGGGGGGGGAGGAGGGACGTAGTCCTCTTGTTCCCTCAGTATTTCAAAGAGTAATACAGAACTATACAGAGGGATATATTATAATAAATATAGGATCCTTGAATTGAGACTACAATGGGCTACATAGGGGACATGTAGTAGCTACTTAATATAGAATAACAGCATTTTTAAGGAAAGGGGGGAGGGATAAAAAAATTCCGCGCTTCGCACGAAAACTGAAAATTCTGTGTACGCGACTGAATATAGCATCATGTGATAATACGCAGAGACATCAGACAGTTTATAGGGGGGGGGGGGGGGTTCCCCCCTAAAACCAGAAATATCTTCCCTATAGCTCTGTTATAATTGAATAATCCCACTCTGTCAATTTAGTAAACCATAAAGGGGGAGGGGGAGTTATACATGGTTTTTTTAATGTCAAAGAAAAAATACTAAATATTTCGGCTCAACACTTAAACATTGTGTCTTTGCCACAAACTCTGATTTTCTAATCCTATAGCCTTGCATCTCAATTTCGTAGACCTTTGATATTTCAAACTATGAATTCTTTTAGATCAAATAATCTAAATTTGAAATATCAAAGGTTCACAATCACACCATCAGGTGCAAAGATACATGGCTAAGAATAAGCGAGTTGTTTGTGGCAAAGGCTTAATTCCTTAACAAATAGTTTATTTAGAGAATACGAGATTAATAAAACACTGTATATGATATTGCATCTAAAACTTGTTCAAACAAATGTTGAAAAAAAGCATTTTGCAAACACGTTATGGTGTAAATAACGCTGAGTTTTTGGTGGCTGTCAAATTTTGGGTCTTAAGCAATTTTTGATCTCAAATTTGTTAAGTTTAAATATCAACCGATTTTTACGACTTAAAATTTCTGAATTTAGTGTTTCAATATACAGCTCTTTTGATAATTTGATTATTCAATCTTAAAGGAATTAGATGTCTTTGGACACAAACTTGATTTTCTATCCCTTTAAAGTTTGAGATATCGATGTTTAACACCTTCAGGTTGCAAAAATAAAACTAAACCTTTGCACAAAGAAGTGAGAGGAATTATTAAAATCAATCAAAAGATTCTCCGGTTTCTGCATGTTTAAGGTATCTCTATTAACAAATCGTTAAATCTTTTTTATAAATACTTTTTATTATTAATTATATATATATATATGACTAATAATGGTTTGGTATAAACATATTGGGTTTTCCAGCTATATTGGTGTATTCCAATTTTAAGCTGCAGCCTGAGCCTAGAGCTAGGCAAGTTCCGACTTTTAAACCGTTCATTTACAGTTCGTTAAAATAACAGAACCAACTCTTCGTTCTTTAACTAAGAATTAAATGTTTCATTCTGTTAACAGTTTTTAAGGTTCTTTATTAAGGATCTCAGTAATATAAACAGCGTTAATGGTCGATATTTTAAAAATTGGCGAGTAATTCATGTATTAAAAAAAGAGTTTTCACAGATTTTTATCATCGATAATAATAATAAAATTGATTACATTTTATTCGGGAATGAAAAACTTATTTTTAAGGTTTTTTGTTCCGAGATAAAAAGTAATCTGAACGGAACGGAACGAAAAGTTTCAGGTCTGATTGTTTGGAGCAGAGGAGGAAGAAAGGAAGAAACTGAACAATTGCTCAAACTCCAAATATATAAGGATATAAATTTAGTGAAACCAATCCAATAAGGCAATGGAAGAACCGGGTTTAAAGTTGTAGCTAATGATTATCATTGCCACAAACTCAGATTTTTTAATCTTTGCAGCTAGTGCAACCCGAATCCTGCAATGTCCACCTTAGATATTTTAAACTATAAATTCTAAATAATCTAATTTCAAATATCATAGGTCTATTCACCATCATGTTGCAAAGATATAGGGCCGGATTAGAAAATTTAAAGCAATCAGGATACAGTAATTTAAATTAAATTCTATGGGATTCTTATTTCACTCGGGGGCAAACTAAAAAAACTTCGGAAGAAGTAATTAGTAACCTTTGTGTTTTAGGAATTTGTCCTTTCTACAGTTTGTGTTTTAGGAGTTTGTGCTCTCTACAGTTTGTGTTTTAGGAGTTTGTTTTCTACGCAGTTTGTGTTTTAGGAGTTTGTGCTCTCTACAACTTGTGTTTTAGGAGTTTGTCCTCTCTACAGTTTGTGTATTAGAAGTTTGTGCTCTCTACAGTTTGTTTTTAGGAGTTGGTCCTCTCTACAGTTTGTGTTTTAGGAGGTCGTGCTCTCTACAGTTTGTGTATTAGGACTTTGTGCTCTCTACAGTTTGTGTTTTAGGAGTTTGTCCTCTCTGCAGTTTGTGTTTTAGGAGTTTGTCCTTATTCAAAAGCTTGTCATGACAGCTAAGCATAACCCAGATCCAATCATCCGACTAAAACCAAGTTGTAACCCAGCTCCACGTGTTGGTGTTATTAAATAGAGAGTTGAGGTTAGGTCTAGTTGATGATTCATGTTATTGATCAATCCGTCCTAGTCTGTTGTTAGAACATTGAGGTCGCTCCTCCGTTCACCACGGCGGGGCCAGGGAGGCGGGGGGTGGTAGGAGGGTCCGAGGGAGGGGGTGAGGCCGGTTGTTAAATATTTAATATTGAACTGTAAGGTGCTGCTAGGGAGTCTAATTTAAGATTGGATTAAAGTTAAAAGTATTTAGTTTCTTCTATTTCAAAATAATGCATTTAATTCGTGAAAATGGAAAATTGAAGATTTGAGCAGCAGGGTTTAAGAACATGATTTTTGCACAATTTACATGAATCCTGGATGAATTATTTTATAATTATAGGAAACTTATTTGGTTCTAGCTACGTATACACGATACGCAATACATTATTACATCTACATTTGTCTGGTATTGTGGGAAGAGAGTAGAGAGAATGATGTAGAATGTAGAATGCAAAAGGACAGGGAAGAGAAGGATTGAGAAAAAAAGTGTAAAAATGTGAATGGAAAGAGATGGGATTGAGGGAGGATTAAGAATGGATTGAGGGAGAATTGAGAGAGAATTAAGAATGGATTGACGGAGAATTGAGAGAGGATTAAGAACGGATTGAGGGAGAATTGAGAGAGGATTAAGAATGGATTGAGGGAGAATTAAGAATGGATTGAGGGAGAATTGAGAGAGTATTAAGAATGGATTGAGGGAGAATTGAGAGAGGATTAAGAACGGATTGAGGGTGAATTGAGAGAGGATTAAAAATGGATTGAGGAAGAATTAAAAATGGATTGAGGGAGAATTGAGAGAGGATTAAGAATGGATTTAGGGAGAATTAAGAATGGATTGAGGGAGAATTGAGAGGATTAAGCATGGATTGAGAGAGGATTGGGAATGGACTGAGGGAGAATTGAGAGAAGATTAAGAATGGATTGAGGGAGAATTAAGAGAGGATTGAAGTAGATTGAGAAAGTATTGAGGGGGGATTAAGTCAGAATTAAAGGAAGTATTGAGGAGGGATTAAAAAAGGATTTAAAGAGGATTAAGAAAGAATTGAAGATGGATGGAGAGAGGATTCAGGATGGATTGCGGTAGAGTTGAGGGAGGATAAAGTGCGGATTGAGAGAGAGTTATGAGAGAATTAAGGGTATATTGAGGACGGAGTGATGAATGGTTTTGAGAAAAATTAAGAAGAATTGGAAGAAGTTTAAGGGAGGAGGAGGTTTGAGGACGGATTGCGTGCATGTGAAGTTGAAGTAAAGTTTGATATTGAAGGAGGAGTAAGGTTGAAGAGAAAGCTCCAAGGTTGGGTTAGTGCTAAATCCCAGTGGATTCTCCAGGTATGAATCATACCAGGACATTACTCTAAGTTAAACCAACAAACTTTCCCAGAATAGAAATATAATAAAACATTTCTGGTCCCGTTTATAATTATATTCAAACCATTATTGAATCAAAATTAGAACAGTCCGTAGTCCTTAGTCTTTTATTATAAATATGAAGAATAGTCATAAATTTTAAATAGAATAGATCTGAATTCTAAACAGAATAGTCCCGAATTCTAAAGAGAATAGAATGAATAGAATAGTCCTAAATTCTAAATATACAGAATAGTCCTGAATTCTAAATAGGATAGTCCAAAATTCTAAATAGGATAGTCCTGAATTCTAAATAAGATAGTCCTAAATTCTAAATAGAATAGTCCTAAATTCTAAATAGAATAGTCCTGAATTCTAAATAGGATAGTCCTAAATTCTTAATAAAATAGTCCTGAATTCTAAATAGGATAGTCCTAAATTCTTAATAGAATAGTCCTAAATTCTAAATAGAATAGTCCTGAATTCTAAATAGAATAGTCCTGAATTCTAAATAGGATAGTCCTAAATTCTAAATAGAATAGTCCTAAATTCTAAATAGATATTCCGAAGTTAGAAAACCCCATATTATTTTATTTCGAAAACTTATAATTTTACTTTTATGATGATTGACGAACCTTTTTTACAGAAGAAAGGAAAAAGAAAATCTTATATACCATGGGATCCCTTTTGGTTCATTTAATAATTTTTAGGTTAGAGTTGATTAAATTTTTAACATTTTGTGTTGATAACGGTCTAAATCCCACTTTTGCAAGCAAAGTTTATGTTATTTTCACATATTTTAAATGATATATTTCGCGCTGAGTTTAGCATCAAACATTCTAATGTAAAAGCTAAAAATCAATTAATTAAGATGTTAAACTATCCTTTAGTTAAATTATTTAAATTTCAAAGAGTAAATGGAACTTTTTTTTTAATTGGGGGAAATACTCTCAGAAGCTTTTTTTTAGAGGTTTTAAATATTCCTCAACTTATCTCAACTCAACTCAACTCAACTCAACTCAACTCAACTCAACTCAACTCAACTCAACTCAACTCAACTCAACTCAACTCAACTCAGCTCAACTCAACTCAACTCAACTCAACTCAAACACAATTTGTAATTTTGTTACGAATAAATTACTTACTTACCAATATTTATTAAGATCATAATAGAACCAATATTCTTTCTACAATTCTATGCATGATCTATTTTCTACATTTCTAACTCTTTGTAATACAAATTGTGCTTGCAACTATTCTCAAATACAGTTGTACAATTTCGAAGACGCTTATTGATTGTTAATTAAAGTAAATATCTAAAAATTCTTTTATATGATTTATTATTTTTAATCTTAAATATTGTTAAATAATAAAATAAAATAGGTGCAGAGCTGAGTAAATAGTAAAAAAGTAAATATTATTAACTGCAGGGACAGCTGAAATCAGTTATTGGGTTTTCTTATCTAAGAAAAGTTTCATAAATACTTGAAAAAAGAGATAATATTGCATTTTTGTGAATAAAGTTTATCAAAATATTTGTGACCTGCTAAAATAAGAATAAAAAATTAACAGGAGGAACAAACACAAATTTTCTAATCCTTTAATCTTTACAACCTGATGGTGTAAACCTTAAATATTTCAAGCCTAGATTATCATCTGATATATGAGAATTCTTATGTCCAAGGTCTTCGACATCAGGTTGTTAAGATATAGGGATTAGAAAATCAGAGATTTTTACAAATACTCTGTTCCACTGTTATTGAGCTTAAACAATAGGATCAGTTCATTAATGTTTAGAATAAATGCATATTATATTTAACCCTTAAAATTAGATTTATAAATAATAGGAACAGGGTGTCATAAAAATACATCAAGAGTTGCAGAGGACTAGATAATATGCTTGTATTTTGTACCACCCTGTATCCATTTACTCGTCTTCATAGTCTTCACCCTCTCCTTCTTCATAATCATCCTCAGCAGTTGCCTCCTGGTACTGCTGGTACTCGGAGACAAGATCATTCATGTTGGATTCAGCTTCAGTGAACTCCATCTCGTCCATACCCTCACCTAGATACAATACAGAGGGTTTTAAGATGGACATATCTGATATCGTATCCACCCCCAAAGTAGGAGTTTTGAGAGTCGAATTTGCGCTCAAACTCAGGATTTACAGATCTTTAAAAAGTTTAATATGTCTCAAATAAATCCGAAAGAAGTTTTCCACAACTCTGCATACTCAGTTCAACTACCTTACATAGCCGGTCACTCCCTTTAACAAAGGTACCCTTTGACCCTGAACAATGATGTGGAAGATAGCATCGTTGTTATAACTTAAATAGTGTTAAATGTTAAAGGTAATTTTATAGAAAAACCATTTAAAAAAAAACAAGATGGATAAATTATTTATTCTAGATCAGATAAAGCTTTTAAGGGTACCGCACCCAACCGTATCATACCATTCTAAAACTGAAGGGTCCCTTGAAATTTCGTTGACAGTCCCTTTAACAAGATATAATACATTATTTAAAATATCCAGAATACCTTGATATCCGTATCAATATAATATCAAAGGTATGTATTCAAATCAAAAGATATGTATTGTACGAAAAATCTCGAGTTCAAAAACATCCTATGTATCCATTAAAGGTAGATCCAAAGTATTGAAAATTCAAAGATATCTATGATATCTCATTTATCCAAGAATACTGTTCCTCTTCTTTGTAGACAAAGGAGAGATATGCATTTTGAAACATATTTTTGCTTTTGTTTCTCCCTAATATTCCGCATATTTCTAAGAGCTGCATACTTTTCTTTAATTTGATATCTTGGCGCCAGAAATATCAAATCAAGTATAATAGAAACAGTCGGATAAAAAAAATTCACTGCTCTTTTTCTTGAATTTGTTAAAAAATATTTAATTTCAAAATAAATTGTTAGGAAAAAAAATAAGAATTATATTTCATGCGTTTAAGGTATCCCATGTGACGTCCTTTTTGTCTATTGAAGGCAGCTGGATATCTAAGTTGCCAAGAATCCATTTTTCTAAGGAATTTTATCTAGGATATCCAAAGTCATCCTAGATTACCAGAGTATCAAAGTATTCATATATATAGTATCCATAGTATCTAGGAAATCTAAGGTACTCAGTATATCCAAGATATGCATAGTATAAAAGGATATCCAAGATATGCAGAGTATTAAAGGATATCCCAGGTATGCAGTGTATTAATGGATATCCAAGATATGCAGAGTATTAATGGATATCCAAGATATGCTGTGTATTAAAGGATATCCAAGATATGCAGTGTATCAAAGGTATCCATAATATGCAGAGTATCAAAGGTATCCAAGATATGCATAATATAAAAGGATATCCAAGATATGCAAAGTATTAAAGGTATCCAAGATATGCATAGTATAAAAGGATATCCAAGATATGCAGAGTATTAAAGGTATCCAAGATATGCAAAGTATAAAAGGATATCCAAGATATGCATAGTATAAAAGGTATCCAAGATATGCATAGTATTAAAGGATATCCCAGATATGCAGAGTATAAAAGGTATCAAAGATATGCATAATATAAAAGGATATCCAAGAAATGCAGAGTATTAAAGGTATCCAAGATATGCAGAGTATTAAAGGTATCCAAGATATGCATAGTATTAAAGGATATCCAAGATATGCAGAGTATTGAAGGTGTCCAAGATATGCAGAGTATTAAGGGATATCCAAGATATATGCAGAGTATTAAAGGTATCCAAGATATGCATAGTATTAAAGAATATCCAAGATATGCATAGTATTAAAGGTATCCAAGATATGCATAGTATCAAAGGTATCTATAAGAGTATCCAGGTGCTGTAAAGACAGAGTATATAGATATAACCTTGCATCCATGTATGCGTCACCTTTGTATAGAAATACAGGATTTCAACCCCCTCCAGTATTATCTATAATTACCCTGTTTTGTACATTTCATTCCTCCAATAGTTTTGTCTTTTAATTCTTTCTGTATTTAGAACTTAACCCATAAAACTATAGAAGGGGTTCTATAAACCTGTAAACATCCTTTGTTTATCTAAATTAACAAATATTTTGGATAAATAAAACATGTCCAGGACCAAGGTTATAATGCAAGGAAATTTTTATTTCAGAGGTGTATGCATCTTTTGTACTGAAGTGTACTGTCTCTGGGCGGTAATGTAAATACAAGACGGATGTCACAGCCTGACATGGGATCCATCTTTCACATAAAAAATCAATGAAATGTTCTGGTCATAGGAAACTATTATGTGAATTATCAAAATTATTTTAATGCTTTAAACCTCCTTGGATACTAGAGTAACATTGATGTATCTATTCTTGTTTACAAATTTCGCCCAGAGAGAACTGGTTTCAATATGTACGTAGAGAATGCGCAACAGCAATTAATTTTCCTTGCATTATTACCTTGTCTAGGACTAACTTGGGAACCACCTTTGCCTGGAAACTAAACTTTCGTTTGACAGTCAACCCACTACACATTGTTATAATGTTAAAATCAAGCTAAGAACAATCCAGTGCAGTTCTACCAGAGCTCCATTATCCAAATTTAAGGCAAATCGATCCAGGGCTTCAAGAGTTATGATTGGGACATCCAAACAAACAGAGTACTATTTTATACATGTAGATGAGATTGAGAACATCTAGGAGATATAGGATTATCCAAGCGAATGAGACTCAGGGTTGTCATAAAATAACAGCCCAAAAAAACACTTAAAAACAACACCTGTAAGTGGGCTTTTGGGTTTTATTGGGTTTTCTAATTCTTTTTTTTAATTGTCTTTTCTTCACTCTTAAAATGAGTTTTCAAGAAATAAGATCCACTATCAACTGTATTGATTTTTAGGAGTTCACAGCACTAAAACTAACACATTTATTCATTTCCTAAAACTTTAACCAATGATCTTAACAAAATGAATATTTTTCGAATATTAAGTTATTTAGAGAAAATATTGAAATAATCAAGGAAGTCAACCTTGTCACTCTGGACTTCAAGATGGTTTCTGGTTTAACATCAAACAAATCAAATTGTAGACAACTTTTGAAGCAATCGATCATCTGCAGTGCTCGTTATTTTTAAAAATAACAAGAATCAAAGATATTAAAAAAAACCAAGAAGATACACAGAACTACAACAGAGCAGTCGAAAGGAATTGAGTCGTTGTCGCACTATGATTTTCTATTCCCTATAACTTTGCCAATAACTTTAGATATTTCACTCTTAATTCTGTTAGATCAAAGGTTTCCACCATCTCTGGTTGTTGAGACATAGAGCTTAGAAAATGTAAGCTTGTGGTAAAGACTCAATTTCTTTGTTACGATGGAACAAGGATATAAAATTCCTTCGTCATTTTTTCGGTATTTAACAGTGGTCTTCCTTCTTGAGCTGATCAATATAAACTATCTACCGATTATTCTGAGTAGTCCCACCCCAATCAGAAATATGTATCCAAGTGAGAAAACAGAATTAGTCTGAAAGGAATCGAGTCTTTGTCACAAACTCAAATGTTCTAATCCGTATATCTTAGCAACCTGATGATGTAAACCTTTGATTTCAAATTATAATTTTTTGATCCAATAGAATTCATAGTTTGATATAGCTAAGGTCTACAACATTCGGTTGCAAAGATATAAGGATTATATCATCAGAGTTTGTGGCAAAGACTCAATTCCTTTATACTCAATTCCTTTATAGAACTATAATATGAAAAAATTTCAGTATGGGAGGTGATATTATATTAATTTGAAGAGTATTTATATTTATATTTATCATCACAACATAATTATTTTTCATAACTATAATGTTCAACTATTGATTAAAAAGTAGGTTTAACTACTTTTAAATTAAAAAACCCAATAAACCCACTGGGCTAGAAGGATAAATTAAGTCTTCTGACTACTTTTGCCTTTAAACAGTCTATTTATCGACATGGCAACGAAAAAAAACAGTTTACAGTTGCAGAGAACCCTAAATATACAGAAATCGACAGTATTAATTCTGTAAAGTCGTCTCTGAAATCTCATTCTTTGTGGGTAACCCTGTATATTGAAATATCTAGAATGTCGTGGTAACACGTCAAGATATGAGTGAACATGTCGTAGAGATGAGTAGACATATCCCAGAAATATGAGTGAACACGTCAAAATATGAGCGAACATGTCCATAGTATAATAATTGAACATGATTTGAGTAAGAAGCGCCAGATTTTAGCCCTGGCGTAATCAACTCTTCATCCTACAACATTCTAACTTAGTCTCCAAAGCTGAAACCGAACACAAGAACGATCTTATCCACGATTTAACTAACTGAAAATCATCAAGTATTGGGTTGATCTAACTGGTATACGTAATGTCAAAACTGTAATGCCAGATTTTTTCAGAGCCAACTTTAAAAAGAATAGTAGACGTCATACATATCATTAATTAATCCTTAATGTTATGAGACCCATAATTTAGGTCGATACCCTTTAAACCTTTCTCTGATACAGTTTAAATGAAGTTTAATTGTGGCTTTGTCTGTGAGTTCATCCTGAATATCCATGTAAGTACGCGCAACCAACAGTAAATATCGAGCGAACAGGATTAAGAGAATTTCTTGATAAATGCTGTTCAAATCTATTTTCTTTGTTTAACCTAGATATATTCGTCCTTGTTTCACCCTTGTTTAATCGATCTGTTAGGTTTAATCAATACTTAAATTGTTCAAGGTATCACGAAACCAGGGGGTTGGAGAAATAAATAAACACATGCAATTGGGGTCCATTGAGAAGATTATACAAATGCTTAAACTGGCATTTAAATGGCTTAATTACAGCTTCCTAATTCAATCAAATGCTCCTATCTAAAAGTTTTAACAAACCAGTAATACTGGATATCCTATATTGATAAATGGAATAAAATTGACAAAACCTGCATCCAAAAATATTCAGGGACAACTTGCCGACTCGAAAATCTTTCAATGAACAGAACGGACTGAATTTCAAAGACCATAAAAAAAGTAGCAGACCTGATTCACAACTGTACCCTTGAAGCATTGTATGTTCTAGAGTGGAGAAGAAATCCATGTTTTTGACTTAATTGTTTGTTTTTCACTTGTGAATTCTTTAGGACAGACTTGCGGATTTCTCATCCTCGTGACCTATCATATACAGGATTGGAAGAAACCGTTGTGAATCAGGCAAGTCTCTTTTTTAATTGGTGAGTCCCAACTAGAAGATAAGCTAATAGTCCTGTCTAAAATAAAGTACCCTAGGTTAGACTACCTGTATACCAATGCAAGAAAGCTTTCCTACGGAACATGGCAGTAAATGAAGTTCCAATCCTTTTGAAGAGTTCCTGAATAGCAGTAGAGTTCCCGATAAACGTTCCTGCCATGGTTAACCCTCTTGGGGGGATGTCACAGACAGCAGTCTTGATGTTATTCGGAATCCATTCAACGAAGTAACTGCTGTTCTTGTTCTGGATGTTCAAGAGCTGTTCATCCACCTCCTTCATGGACATGCGTCCTCTGAAGACGACAGCTACGGTGAGATATCGTCCGTGGCGAGGATCACAGGCGGCCATCATGTTCTTACCCTCAAACATCTGCTGTGTGAGCTCCGGGACGGTAAGGGATCTAGAGAACCATATACATAAATCCTGGTATAAAACCAATAGTGCACATCTAGATAAAAACAAAAACAGGCAAGCTTGCGTCCTACCTTTTGCAGTGAAAGGAGAAAGTAAACCTTAAAAGTTTAGAATAAAGATTTATTGGTGAAATAAAATACGAATCATGGTCATGTCTGGCTTAAAAGTAATTATGCTTCCTCCTCCTCCTCTTCGTCAAATTCTCCTTCATCCTCAGCAGTCGCCTCCTGGTATTGCTGGTACTCGGAGACAAGATCATTCATGTTGGATTCAGCTTCAGTGAACTCCATCTCGTCCATACCCTCACCTGAACAAGCCATTCAGTCATTTTTAAAATTCCAACAAAAATGTCATTAAAATTAAAATATCCCAGGAGATCACAGAAGGTTAAATCAAATAAAGAATTTGCAGCTTTTTAAACTTTAAAAACGGTAAGTGTATTTATTCACCTGTATACCAATGGAGGAAAGCCTTCCTTCTGAACATAGCAGTGAACTGCTCTGAGATTCTCTTGAAAAGTTCCTGGATAGCGGTGGAGTTTCCAATGAAAGTGGCGGCCATCTTTAATCCTCTGGGAGGGATGTCGCACACGGCAACCTTCACGTTGTTAGGGATCCATTCAACGAAGTAGCTGCTGTTCTTGTTCTGGATGTTAAGGAGCTGTTCATCGACCTCCTTCATGGACATGCGTCCTCTGAAGACAGCGGCAACGGTGAGGTAACGTCCGTGACGAGGATCACAGGCGGCCATCATGTTCTTGGCGTCGAACATCTGCTGGGTGAGCTCGGGAACGGTAAGTGCTCTAAAGGAAAAACGTGCAAATAAAATCCTGGCAAGATATGTGCTAAATATTCAAGTGCGGGTTCAATTTGATAAAAGTGAATAATTTCAGACCCTAGGTTTTATTAAACAAAGCAAATATGACATATTTAAAACTAACCCTGTCATTTTGTTTAAAAAAACAAGTTTTCATGCTCCAAAAATAGCATTGTCGGTTCAATATCAATCTATGTGTAACATCAAACGTGAAAAATTCATATCATCCTTCCTAGATACCAGTAAACTCGCAAATCATACTTGTAAATACTCTGGACATTTTGAAGGGCTTCCATATTAGCATTGAAGATGAGAAAGCTTTAATAAATTGCGAGAATACCGGAGTCAGGACTAGAGTAAGAACTCACCTATATTGTTGAGAGCCACGGGAAGTGAGAGGAGCAAACCCAGGCATAAAGAAATGAAGACGAGGGAAGGGAACCATGTTAACTGCAAGCTTCCTGAGATCAGCGTTCAACTGACCAGGGAATCTAAGGCAGGTGGTCACACCTAGACAAAACAAAATCAATATTTTAAATGATATTAAAACAAAATTAATTCATCAAAAGTTCCGTGAAGGAAAAGACTTGTACCTGACATGGTAAGAGAAACCAAATGATTAAGATCTCCGTAGGTGGGGGTGGTAAGTTTCAAAGTTCTGAAGCAGATGTCATAAAGAGCTTCGTTGTCAATACAATAGGTTTCATCGGTATTCTCAACCAACTGGTGAACGGAGAGGGTGGCATTGTAGGGTTCGACAACGGTGTCTGATACCTTAGGGGAGGGGACAACGGAGTAGGTGTTCATAATCCTGTCAGGGTATTCTTCTCTGATCTTGGAGATAAGGAGTGTTCCCATCCCGGACCCGGTTCCTCCACCGAGGGAGTGTGTAAGCTGGAATCCCTGAAACACAACTTTGGATTAAATCTTGAAATTTTCTAAAAAAAAATAAATTAATACTGCAATATATAAATAAATTAATAATGCAAAATATTACAAGGAGTAAATACCTGGAGACAATCACAGCTCTCGGCTTCCTTCCTCACAACATCTAGTACAGAGTCAACCAGCTCAGCGCCTAAATACAGATATTTAGCTTAGAGAATTTGTAGAATGGTATTTTGCAACCGGTTTAATCTAAACCAATCCGGTTCTATCACGATAGGTCACAATTTTACAGGAAAACGTCTTTTCTCTTCCATCCTCTTCCTGTCGCCTGTCATGTAATCAGGTTTCGTTCCGTCAGTACTACTCTAGGCTATGTCTTATGTACTCCTAACTCCAGGATGACAGGACTAAAAGGTCGATGCATTTATGTCTCTTATGTCCCTGTCCTAGTTGAGTTTAAAGTAGTGCATAAGTTATCGATCTGAGGTCCCAGGACTGGAGTAGGAAAGTTTAACTTTCTACTCACAATACTTTTTCATTATTCTCAGACACGACATTATTCATTGATATTCCAGGGGGAGAGTGTTTTAAAAGGTAAAGGGGGGGGGCCTCTATTGTAGATTTAAAAGGAAGGTGTATTCTTCTGTCAAAGCGTGAGTGTATAATAAGCTCTAACATCTTGCAGTCAATAAACCCGTTTATTTCCTGAGTGACTCACCCGTCCCCCTGTAACCCTTATTTAAAATACCAGCCCCCCCCCCCTCACAACTGCTCCAGTATATAATATATATAGAAATAATTTACCTTCTGTGTAATGACCCTTGGCCCAGTTGTTCCCTGCTCCGCTCTGCCCGAACACAAAATTATCTGGTCTAAAGATCTGTCCAAAAGGTCCGGATCTGACACTGTCCATGGTTCCTGGCTCCAGATCGACAAGCACAGCTCTGGGTACATACTTGCCACCGCTGGCTTCGTTATAGTAAACATTGATTCTCTCTAACTGGAGATCTGAGTCCCCGTGATAGGTTCCTGTTGGGTCAATTCCATGCTCGTCAGAGATGATTTCCCAGAACTGAAAATAATGGAATAATTAGATAATTGTGTCGATATAAAAAGATAATTATCGAGCGGAACCAGCGACGTTAATTACGAGAGAAATGAATGATATTGATGACCACCATGAGAAAATTAACCAGTTAGGTTGGAGCGGAAAGAGAAATCGGAAGTTACTACTCTAGACTGGACCCTGAGCAGGTTTAAACCTGCTCCTATCACACCCGTCCTGTGTAGGCACAATACTGGATACACGTGCACTTCTCCAACCTTACAACCAGCCTACACCAATGTTTTGTAATTAATTCCCCTAGTTAAGATCACTAGTCCGGAAAGTAATATCGGGAAAATTACTTCCATTACGATATTTTGACCTGGAGCTAGCGACCACACGTCCGCTTACAACATTTACAGTTTAATTCAAGCTAAATCTAGGACCCTGAGCCGAGTGAAACAAGTATTGTTAAATCTATATTGAACACATTAAATACAAGAAGCCACAAGCTTAACCCCAGCAATGTTTCGATATTGATCATACAATAAAATTGCCTGCTTCAACCAGTAATTCATGATATTATATATCAATTTCTGTGTCTACAATTAGATCATTTGATAAACAAGTATTAGATTACAAAATAAGGGTAGCAGATAATGTTCTCTGAATATGTGAATATAAATATCATTAACAGATGAGATCAAAGACTCCAACACGTTCTTATTAGTAAAAGAAGGATTTGCAGGAGTGTAAGGTTTAAGAAGAAAACATTAGGAATTGGGAGGCAGGATTAAGAGGGGTACAGAGGAAGGATTTATAAGAGTAAGAAATAAGGATTGACAGTCGTCCAAAGGAAGGTATAAAGGAGTACTGAAGAAGGATGAAGAAGAGTACAGAGGAAAGATCAAGAGGAGTACTGAGGAAAAAATAAGACGAGTACTAAGGAGAGATTAAGAGGAGTACTGAGAAAAGATTAAGAAGAGTACATAGGAAAGATTAAGAGTACAGAGGAAAGATTAAGAGTACAGAGGAAAGATTAAGAGTACAGAGGAAAGATTAAGAGTACAGAGGAAAGATTAAGAAGAGTACTGAGGAAAGATAAAGAAGAGTACAGAGGAAAGGAAAGATTAAGAAGAGTACTGAGGAAAGATTAAGAAGAGTACTGAGGAAGGAATAAGAGTACTGAGCAAAGATTAAGAAGAGTACTGAGCAAAGATTAAGAAGAGTACAGAGGAAAGATTAAGAAGAGTACAGAGGAAAGATTAAGAAGAGTACTAATGAACGATTAAGAAGAGAACAGAGGAAAGATTGAGAAGAGTACTGAGCAAAGATTAAGAAGAGTACTGAGCAAAGATTAAGAAGAGTACTAATGAAAGATTAAGAAGAGTACTGAGGAAGGCATAAGAAGAGTACTGAGAAAGGATTAAGAAGAGTACAAAAGAAAGACTAAGAAGAGTACTGGGAAGGGAATAAGAAAGAGTACTGAGGAAAGAATAAGAAGAGTACAGAGGAAGGATTAAAAGGAGTACTGAGGAAGGACTATGAGTATTGCTGAGGAAGGATTAACAGGAGTACAGAAAAAGGATTAAGAGGAGTACTGAAAGGGATTAAGAGTACAGAGAAAGGATTCAGAAAATAATCTATAAATTACGTTTTAAAACATTTGCGCATGCGCGGTCCGCAATAAATAATGAAGCGCTTGAAATAATAGGTAAACTTGAAACTTCTTTTTCACTACAAGGCGCGATGAGACCAATTTTTCTAAATTTTCTGTTCTTTCCATGCGAAGACTTGACAAGAGTACAAAGATTGAATTTAGTAGAGTGCAAAAAAAAGTGGAAAGGATTATTAGTAGTACAGGATTACCAAAACTACACAATTTGGTAATAGTACAGAATAAGGATTATTAGTAGTACAGGATTACAAGAAGTACACTATTTGACATTAGTACAGAATGAGGATTATCAGTAGTACAGTATTACCAGAAGTATATTTGGTATTAGTACAGAATATGGATTATCAGTAGTACAGGATTACCAGAAGTACACTATTTGGTATTAGTACAGAATATGGAATATCAGTAGTACAGGATTACAAGAAGTACACTATTTGACAGTACAGAATGAGGATTATCAGTAGTACAGTATTACCAGAAGTATATTTGGTATTAGTACATAAAAGGGATTTTCAGTAGTACAGGATTACCAGAAGTACACTATTTGGTATTAGTACAGAATATGGATTATCAGTAGTACAGGATTACCAGAAATACACAATTTGGAATTAGTACAGAGAAAGGATTCAGTTATATCACGTACAAAGAACAAAACTTATATTAAATGCAAGAATGATTCGGGGATGAACTGAAACAGATTAAAGGGTTTAATATTAAGGGTAACATAAGGGAGATGAAATTAACACTCTGAATATATTCTCGCACAACAATAGGAAGGAATTGAACAGTCATTTCAACCCACCCCCCCCCCCCATATCACAATCTTAGAATTTCTTTTTACGAAATCAGGAACAACAGAAATTAAAAATTTTAAAAATAGTTGAACAATTAAAATATAACTTTAAATAAAACATTGAACTTCCCCCTTAACCCCGCGGTCCAGACAAGAGAGTAATGGCGGGAATACTGATATAATAAAACCGTTAACAATGAACACAACTTTTTAAACCTTTTAACCAGTCACACAATTAAGATCTGCTCTTTAGAAACGGAAAGTAACAAGAAAATAATTTTGTAGAATAATACCTTGGCTCCGATCTGGTTTCCGCACTGACCAGCCTGGATGTGAACAATTTCTCTCATTGTGGAGCAGGATTTGTGTGTCTAGACTGCAGGAAGAAGGTTTCTCGAGTGAGGAGTGAGGACTGAGGTTGTGTGCTGGCAGGGCGGGAGCTGCTGTAGCTAGGGAGCGCGGGTAAAGATCACGTGACTGGCCGCTCGGAAACCGCCCTGTGACGTCACAGTCGTAGTCTGCCGCATTGCCTCTCTTTTGGCGCGACTCGACTTTTTAAATTTTACCGGGAAGCTTTTTTAGCGGGAAATAAAGAGTTCTTTTAATTATAATAAACCAATTTTTATTCTTCTTAAAGCTAATTCATTCAAAAATTGTGTAATACCAGGGGCGAATACAGGGGGGGGGGCAGGACCTTCGCACCCCCCTGACGGATTCAGGGCCGGTGGGGGGGGGCGTGCCCCGAGATTTCAGAATAGCTCCTCTATAGCACTAGGGGAAAGTAAACCTAAGGAAAAAAGGAAAATTATCTATCTTAAAAAAAATTTCGCCTGTGGCACGTCTATTTGTTCCTAAATCTGAATTATTTGTTCGGAAATAAATCTAGCACCCCCTCGACAGAGGCGCAACTGTAAAGAGTGGGGCGGCCAGGCGCGCCCCCCCCTAGCACCTGAGAGGGGGGTTGCGCCCCTCCCCCTGCAGAATGAAAAGAAAGATTGGCGAATATCAGTATCACAGGAGTCAGGAATAATAAAACCAGAAGAATTATTGTAGAAATTGTATTCTACTATATATGGTTAGTTTAAAAAAAATATTTTTATCTTTCTGAATTCTCAAGGCTAAAGGCTGCTGTAAACATTTAATGTAAAAAAGTTCCGAACTGTTTTTTATTTGTGTTGAAATATCAAAGGTGTACACCACTCAGTGCAAAGATTTAGGGATTAGAATATTTGAACTCAGTTCCAAATCTAGAGAACATTCTGAGACTGAACCTGGCAAACTTCTAACTGATTATTATATTCAATAACTGTTTTCTTTTTTGAAAGAACTTCTATAAAATTAGAAAATGAAATAAGATTATGAATGTTGGTTAGAATGACCAATCATAAATTCAATAACTTCAGGAGAAAACGTAACATATTATCTGTCCTTTTTCAATGTAGATGATTAAAATCATACATGTATTTGATGTGTGTTTTTTTTTCAGGATAAATAAATTATTATTTCTTGTCATTTTATCTTTTATTTAACCTATACTTAACAACTTTTCTGTGGCACTCCGCGCACACATTAAAAGAATTGATTGACTCATATCGTTAATTTTACAGTTGTTGAAAGTATTAATTTTTAAAAAAACACTAGAAAAAAACGATTTGAATTGAACACAGCCAATAATAATACGTGTAATTTTTCATGCAACCGATGATCTTCGACTATTTTATTCATATTCAATCATACTATGTACAATTTGATATATCATGCGTACTATTAAAATTATGACATTGCGGACTATTACATATTAAAATTATGACAATTATTGTGTACTAACAAAAATGCAGCCGTATAGGAAGAATCTGAACTATTTTATTTGGCGGAACTTAGTACGACATGAAAGTGATAACGTGAAAAGGAGTATTATATTTTTATCGGATAAAAGTGTAAGTCAATTTTAGTACAGTGAAACCCTTAATAACGAAGACATCGGAAGAATTCATCAAATGTCGTATTGACAATTTTTCAATGAGTTTTATACTATATTACGTAAATTTCAGTATTTTCAAAATAAATAAATAGCCATGAATATGCGGGAACAGTTTTAAAGAGNTATCTGTGCTATTTTATTTCAAAACCTGGACTATATTTTTCTTTTACCTATGTCAGATGTTATTATAAATAAAAGTAAATTTGTTTTCAGGAATTATAAATTGTTTATTTCCAAGTTCTTACTGCTTAGTGCTAGCTGTGCTGTGTCGATATGATGGTTCAATGTCATAAAATTAAGTAATAAAAAAGGTTAATTTTTAAGTGGAATTCTTTTTATCATTTTAAATTTTTTTCAGACATAAAAATTATTATTTTTGTTTACTCGGAGTGCCTCACCCCATTTAGAAATACCCAGTTACGGGCCATTGGGGAGAGGTGAATTTTCAATAAGCATATTATCTATTGGTCCAATTTGATTGACTCGACTGCTTTTATACCTTTCAATTTTCGTTGAACTTTTCGTTCAGGGGCGTACTCAGGGATCATTCCAGGGGGTGGCTTAATTTTTTTACTTTCTAAGGGCCCAGTACCCGTTTGGGCCTAAAAACATTCTAGAAACTATTGATTTTACTGATTCAGGGGGGCTGAGCCCCATAGCCCCCCCCTGAGCAAGACTCTGTTTTCTTTATCTAATTGTTATGTAAGCTGCGTGTATAACATGCGTCTGATGAATATATAAGTTTCATGTGAATCATTTTCCTTTTTGTTAATTTCTCCAGAAGTGATGAATTCAGCAGATTTGAAATTATTAATGATATCATATATCATGTTCGTTAAACTTTGTAGGAATTATGTTATAGAAAGAAAAGTTAAAAAAAATAAAAGCAACAAGTTTTAAATTATCTTTGTGGGACCTAATTCAGGATCCATGGTCAGTATTTGAGGAGGGCTTTATAACTCTTCTCACAACGTTTTTTTCGAAATATTGCAAAAATCCAACAAAATATGCGGAGTTTCTTTTTGTTTCTTATTTGATAATGTACAAAATATACAGATGTAATTAACACAGATGAAGCAAAAAAAATATATATTAATAGAAACCCATACGTTTTTTGTTAATGAAAAAAGGATTAAAAGGGGAAATGTAAACCAAAACAAAAAACTTGATGGAAGCTCGTAGATACTGCCATAACACGATATTAAGAATTTATTTAGCAAAATTTCAATTATTTCCACAGTTTGTTGGTTCTTACTGTATACAATCAACAATTTAAAGAGACCGTCGCTGGAATTTGAAAAAGAGGGACATGCCCCATTCACGAGGGTACTTTTAAAACCTTATTCTAATTTCGTCGTTGCTCTGGCTTAAAGTGTTTAATTCTGATAATTTCTCCATTGTTACAGGAAAAATGTGCAAGGCACTTTGGCAGAAACCCACTAATGAAAAACAACAGTTTTAAAAAACAAGAGCATCTGATTTAAAGTTGATCAGACAAGGGGTTCATGGTACCGTTGTAAATCGTGCAAACAACTCTAATAATTTAGAGCCATTTATAATAATACTTACAGTCCCTTTAAAAGTTAATTAGTTCTAGGTAGGTGCCCAAGAGATTTACAAAAAGAGAGAGATTAGGGCTAGGTTAGGGTAAGACACTTTCTTGGCCGAGCGCTGCGGTTAGGACAGGCTAGGGGGCCCAGCACTGCAGCTAGGACAGGCTAGGGGCTCGAGCGCCGCAACTAGAACTGGCTCTCTCTCTGTCTTATAATTCATTGCGGCATACGCACGTAATTTCCCTGGGCCGCTGCCTTATTTCTAAGACAATTAGTTAGCCACAACTATTCCTTTTACCCATATTTTTAGAAAAGATCTTAAGCAAACTTAGAAATAGTAATCATAGAAAAATACTTTTAATTGTCAACTAAACATGTAAAATATCTTCATTCGATAGTTTTCTTCCTATTCTCAGAAAATTATTTTCTCAAATGTTTTTGCTTTTTTTGCAATTTAATGATCAAATAAATTTTTGTTTTTGTTTTGGAACAACAGAAAGATGAAAAAAGCTCGTTTTATATTTTAAAATTAAAATATAAAACATATAAATGGTGAATAGTTGAAATGAATGACTGTTCAGGAAAGATAGGTTTTCTATTCTCATCTTGAAATAAAGACTTTTTTAATGTAATTTTATGATCTTTCTTATTCATAATAATTACCGGATACGTTATAATGGGATTCGGCTCTCTAATGAATAAAATCCAATGAAAAAGTTATTAAATGGAAACTTATTCACATGTAATAAGAGATATGTTCTCGTTGTACAGGTTGTACTCTTCAAATGTTAAAATGTTAAATGGAAATATATTTTTCTGTTTAACAGTCTTTTTAGTTTAATCAAAACAGTATCTTTTCGTTTTCATGTAAAAACGATCTTTTTTCTTGTTATAAAGTTACAAACATAAACGGGATTTAAAACGGTAAATTAATATATCCTTTTGGAAACGGAATCGATTTAAAAATTACCCAGTTGTTTTTCGTTTTCGTTAAAGAATGTTTTTCTTTATTTTTGCCAGCTGTAACGAAAAGCTTAAAACTATTTTGAACAAAAAAAAGTTACCCATCCTGTAGATATATCTATCCTATAGATATATCTATCCTATAGATATAAATGCTGATAAGATTTTTTTTGACAATTTTAAGCATCGAGACGATGTTAAATTTCAACAAAATATCATAATTTATTTTAAGATGAAATACTACAAACAGTTGCCTCGCATATTCATTAAATATTATTGATCTAATATGACTAATATTTTATAAAAAAAATGTGCTTTTAATTATTTTACATTAAATTGATATATCAGGATTATTATGTAATTTTCGTAAAATTTGCAAAAATGCAGATTATTTTACTCTTTATTCGATATCCACTGTGTAATTGTACCCTGATCCTCAACTTTAAAGTAACCACAGTGGATATCAGGGACAAGCAATCATGGGATTACACGATTATCCAACATAAAAGGCCCCAGCTCAGACTACTTTGTTAATTTTTGGATTTTCAATGCTTTCAAAACAATATTTTGAAAATGTTTGTCATATCTTTATTTTCAAATCTTTTATATAAATGCGGGAAATACTTGCTCAAGAAAGAATATAGGAAGGAATATTTTCGAAAAATCTAACAATAAGTGACATGTTTTTCACATTAAAAGGACTTCAGAACCTTTGCTACAGATTTCTCTGTAAAAAACCTCCATTTTGTATTTAGTCTGCTTTAGGGTTGGTTAGGATGCATTTCTCTATTATACAGGGTGTCCCAATAAACATGGGAATTTAGTGGCGATTTTGAGATCGTCTTTGTTATTGATATATTGATTTAGTGTGGTGATGCTATACTAGGAAAGTTGTAAACCTTAGTTGTTTTGTCTATAACTATAGAGTTTTGAATTTGTTTGTTTATTTTTTGATTGCATACAGAGATGAGATTTTAAAAGCTTAAACCCGAATAAAAACCAAACTCGGGCTTAGATAGAACCCAAGTCAGGATTGGTTCTGATTCGACAAATGAGAGACTGTTTTGCAAGCTTTCTCTATGTAGCAGACAGAATGCCGTCAGATCAGCTGTGACAAGGGGATGAAATTTCGAAAGTTCAAACTTTATGTAGATGTAAATTATTTTCATAGTATGTTGTTTATATATTATTAATAAAATTTGACACCACAAATAATTCCAGAGATTTTAAATGTACAAATATAAAAGATTTTACGAAATTTACGATTATCAGCATGCTGAAGACTCGAGCCTTAAAAAGAGAAAAACCCAAGATGGTTGATTCTTACTAAACTCAAGGCCATCCAAAACCCGGGTCTTGACTTGAGCTTTACTTGGGTCTAAGCAGACGCAAAGACCGGGTTTTACTCGGGTTTAAACTTTTAAAATCTCATCTCTGGTTGTACTTAGTAAAATGAGAGACTGTATACCAACAAGTATAACAGTTGTTCCTCCTTCTTGCAGACATGTTACAGAACATCATATCAACGTTTAGAAGAATAACAAAATAGTCTTTTTTACCGTTTGCATCAAGGTTGTATATAAGGTCAGATACTACGATCCAATGTAGGTAAAGACGACTTTTATAGCGATGGATACTCTAATACCCAATATGACGTCACTGATACTAAACATCATCACAATTCACAGTTTGCAAATATTGATTGTGCGAACAAGTTTGAAGCTAAAAATGCAATTCTAATTCAAGTTTTCAGTTTTTGAGTTCGTTTATATTTAGTGACCCGCAAAATTTATTATTCTTTAAAACAAGCAGTGACGTCATATGAGGTATAGAGTGTCCATTGCAATAAAAGTCATCTTTTCCTTCATCGGAGCGCATCCATCTAGTATCTATCCTTATTATACAACCTTGGTTTACAAAAAAATATACTCTAACAGACGTAACTTAATTTTGACAATTGAATTTAGGTGTTACAACGCTGATTCTTAACAAAGACGATTTCATATTCGTTTTTTAATTCCCATGTTTATTGGACACCCTGTCTACAAATCTGCACTGTCATTGAACCCAACCCAGCCACTGCAGAATCCTCGCAATTGTTTACAACACTTTATATCTGCAGAATTACAATCCACAATCTGTACATTCTACAATCTTCAATATATAACATATTATATACAATTTACATTGTACAATCTTCAATCTAAAATCTACAGTAAACAGCTAAAATCTACAATAAATATCTTCATTTTTTTCGTACTTTACCAGATATCTGATTTTTTTTGTACTTTACCAGACATATCCATTTTTGGTACTTTAAAAGATATCTGAATTTTATTTTGTACTTTACCAGATGTCTGCATTTTTTTTTGGTACTTTACCAGATACTGAAGTTGTATCATGACTGTACTAAATATCTGCAGTGGGTTTCTTTTACTTAACCAGATATTTGCAGATATTCTTTCTTTACTAAATCTTTGAAATTTTATTTTTTACCATGGTTTCCATAATATAGGGCTATTGGAAGAAAAGACGGGGGTTTCTTGACGTTTTTAGTCTTGGCATCTGAAGTTTTGATATTTTTAAGCCTCGACGTTTTTTTGTCTATACGTTTTCAGGCTTGTCGTATTATTTGGGGAGTCTATAGAGCCCACACTTTCTAAATGATTACACAATATCGTATAATTTTTCTAGTTTTTTAATATGAGAATCCATGTAATGTCATAAGAGAATCCATGCAAATGTAATCGGAGAATCCATGCAAATGTAATAGGAGAATCCATGCAAATGTAATAAGAGAATCCNAAATACTATTTGAAAAAACGTGATATATTTATAAACACATTTTTTCTTTTCTAAACTTTTGATTTTGAGAGAAAAAAGGTTCGCGGATTTTTTGAGCCATTGAAATACCAAAAAAATTAAAAAAAAATATTGAAAAAAACACCATACAGGAGAGTTGCACAAAAAAGGTACAATTTTGAACCAGGCGCCGCAAATCACACTTTTTTTTTGACTCACAAATATTACAAAAGTCTTACGGATCAAAAATTAAACCCTTTGTGTCAGCAAAATGTATCTCTAAACTTTAATCTTAAGACAAAAATGTTATCAAAACAAACATAATTGGAATTAAATGTTAAATAATCCATCATTATGTGAAACACCGGTAAAAAAAAACATTCTTATATTATTTTTGCGAAGACAAACCTCAAACGAAAAAAATTATCATTAAATTTATTTTATAAAACAAACATTTATTTACACAGTAAAGCAGTAAGCAGGCCTTTAGTCGTACCGGCACGACATGCTACATTTTCACCAAAGGTTTTTCACCATTTTTGACTGCCAAGTAATTGCCACTTGTTGCTTAAAATACCCATTCATTTTTTAAGTTTTACAAATTTTAATGAAATACTCTAAAATATCGCATATTCTAGTCTTTCATAAATCTTTGTACTCTCTCTAAACCTTTAGATAAATATAGACATAAAACATTCATGTTGGATAAATCCAATATACATTTCTATCATTAATACATATTTGAATCTTAAAAATGTTCTGATTTGACAAACCATGTTTATAATCTTTTAAAAAATTATATTTTATTTTGATCCATCTTGTAGAACTAAATAAATCTTGATATTTGAAAGTTCACGAGGCATAAATCTAAAGGAACTGATTACTCGCCCCAAACTCTAATTCTTCAAGTTTATTATATCTTTAAACCCCAATGTCGTAAACCATTAATATTTTAAAATTTGATTATTTGATCCAGTATACATCAGGCTGCAAATATATTATGATACAGCGACTAGCGAGAACAAAAAAAAACTGGAATAGGAAGACGACTTTTGGACTCAAGTTATGACTGTAGATAAATAGTTTAAGGAACATAAGAATCAGCAATTGTAAACAGATTCATGTAAACAGATTCATTTGAATGAATAAGTGATATCAGTCACAAGTAAAACTATTTGCTTTGTAAAAACATCAAATGCCAAATACACTTAAAGAGAGTGTTAGCGAAAAATGAAAGGGGGTATAGGCTTAATGCGATAAAAAAACACTTTTGACCGCTATTAATTTTACTTCTATCTGTTGCGTCTATAAGGAGAAAATTGTTAAAGTCGTCTTACAACGAATAACTTAGCGCCCATACAAATTCAGAAAATTGCAACATACAACTTAGACCGTAAAAAATCAATTTAATTTCAAACATATCATTCAGTGTTAGGTTAGATCCCCAGCGCAACTTCCCCAGTCACAACTTTCCCGAGACATCTTCCCCAACAGCAATTTCCCCAACAACCAATTTCCCCAACACTAACTCCCCCAGACACTAACTTCCCCAGTCACTAATTTCCCCAACAGCAACTTCCCCAACACTAACTTCCCCAGTCACTAATTTCCCCAAAAGCAACTTCCCCAACAACAATTTCCCCATGCAGTAAAACAGCAACTTCCCCAACACCAATTTCCCCATGCAGTAAAATATCAAATATTTCCGTTTTTAACATTACTCCAATGAACAAATGCGCAATTTTAAAATAAAAAAATTCGCAAATTTTTGAATGTGAAAAAATCAGTTGGATTAGAGTCGACAATTTTGGCAGTTTATACACTGTCCTCGAAGAAGAGAAATGTTCTGGTGGATCCCAATAAGTATGAACACAACCTACAATCAATGTCAAGGGACAAATCTAAATCATTCTGGAACTGTGTGGAGAAAAGGAAACATTCAAAATGTGCAGCAACAGCCGTTGTCACGTTGTGAAGTGAAGTTGCTGTTGGGGAAATTAAGAATTTTACTGCATGGGGAAATTGTTGTTGGGGAAATTGCTGTTTTGTTTTAATGCATGGGGAAATTGTTGTTGGTGAAGTTGCTGTTGGGGAAATTAAGAATTTTACTGCATGGGGAAATTGTTGTTGGGGAAATTAGTGACTGGGGAAGTTAGTGTTGGGAAAAATAGCGGTTGGGGAAGTTGCTGTTGGGGAAGTTGTGACTGGGGAAATTGTGTTGGGGAAGTTGCGCTGGGGAAATGACCTAACACCATTAAAAATTTGCACCTTTTTTTACGGCATTTTTAGACTTTCCCTTGTGTAGAAGCCCGCAAATAATTCTGTGTTTAGAGAACTTCAATCTTTTTTGTTAATAATGGTGAACACCATAGAATTTTTCCGAGTGTTTTCATGGGGAAAATATTTTGCTATTTATTTTATTTCGACGAAGGTTAGTAATTGCGGAGGCAGAAGTGATTTAAGTTTTACCTAAATATAAGTTTGACATCATTCTCATGGGTTCAAGACTCCAGCAAGATGTTATAATCATTGCAATACTTTAGTGGATACGTTGTTTCGACGACTAGGAGCGCCGACCCCTATTTCATTGAATGATGGGTTGTCCTTTAATAATAATAATAATAGTCTATCAATATTCCATATATTATGCGCTGACGTGGCCAGATTTTTTAAAATAGTTTTATCTTTAAGAATTGGAAACTTTAAAACACATAATAATAATCGAATGACTAGGATTCCGAGGTGACTCGGAAGAGAAAATGGGGAGAATGTGGCTCGGACGAGAAATTGTTGTGGCTGGCCTTAATCCCTCCCCCACGTACACACAAAAGAAAAATTATTAATCATTCCTTGTTTACTACTTCATAACTAAAAAACGGTTTTATTTATTCATTGATTCATAGGCTTCAGGAAATCCAAGAAAATTATTACTTTAAAACTTCCTTGATCGGGTTGGAACAAATTATCTGTCTAAATGTTGAAAATAAATAATTTAATTCAAGTTTAAACTTGTAAATTAACGATATTTATGAAGTTAACCAACCAGTGATTAATCTGAGAATGTTTGCATGAAAAAATCCTCAAACCCCCTGGAGCAGTTAAACAAGTCATGATGTGGTTAAATTGGTTTATTGACAACAAATCTTCAGTCTTTAAATAATCTAATCTTAAATATTTAAATATTACAATATTATAGCACGGGGTTCAGCTCAGCATGGGGTTTAGCCATAAACTGGAGTAGGACCATATGGAGCGGGAGTAGGGTGGTAGGGAGCAGGTTTGGGATGATAGGGAGCGGGTTTGGGATGGTAGGGAGCAGGGGCGGGATGGTAGGGAGCGGGAGCGGGGTGATAAGGTTTTTCTTCAGGATAGACAGGTGTTCCCTCATAAGTAACCTCTGCAATATATCCGTTATAATGATCAGCAGTGTAGGTAACGTGTTGAGTTCTACCGTCAGGAAGGTTTACAGAGTAGGATCCTTGAACAGCTTTACCATCACTAGTCTCATGAGCGTTGAAGGCAGCTTTAGAGTAGTCATCAGCAACAGCATACTCATAGGTATAGGGCTCTGGAGGTCCTTCATACTCAGGTTCCTTATAGGCAGGAGCAGGGTGGTAGGGAGCAGGCTTGTATGCGGGAGCAGGGTGATAGGGTTCAGGTTTGGGGTGATAGGGAGCGGGATGATATGGTTCGGGTTCAGGATGATAAGGGGCAGGGGTGTAGACAGGGGCGGGGTGATAGGGTTTAGGGGTGTAGGTAGGGGCAGGGTGGTAGGGTTTGGGATGGTAGACTGGGGTGGGGTGATAAGGCTCAGGGGCATAGGCAGGGGCAGGGTGATATGGCTCAGGGGCATAGGCAGGGGCAGGGTGATATGGCTCAGGGGCGTAGGCCGGAGCTGGATGGTAGGAACCATGATGAGGAAGAGCAGCCGGAGCGTGAACAGCAGCAATTGGCTTCTCATATCCTCCATATCCATGCACAGACTGAGGAGCAGCATGAGGTTGACTAGCTACAGAGGCTACATAACCTCCATGTGGTTTATGTACAGATACACTAACAGCAGGAGCATTGCCATGCTTGATCACCTGATGGTGGGATTGATCACCCAGGCAGGCTCCAGCCAGTACAACTAATAGATAAACCTAAACAAATAATAATTCAATTTAAAGGGACTGTTCAGGAAAATTCAAGTCACCCTGTAACATGTATGATTCACAAAGGTACCCTTTACACCCACATCTGATTATCAACGGTGGAGAATTCCTTGTTTTTTGTCTAAAAATTGTATTTCCTGAATTTCCCGAATATTCTGTCCACCGTGGTTTTCAGAAGTTAGAATGAAAAGATTTATCGTTTTGAGACTCCCGCAAATAGGCGATAATATCTTTTAAAAATGAAACAACTTGCAAGTGAAGTTTTTAACAATTACTAGTGTTTGACATGAAGAAATAAGGATAGCTCCTTCATCAGTCAAAGCTGTAAAGGGTACCGTTGTAAATCTGACTTTCCCCTCTACAATTATGAAGGGTTACTTGAAATTAAGTTTCAATCAAATTATTTGATTGGTGCCATAATTCTTGTTATTTTATAAACCTGGGGATTCAAACATAAAACTTTGTAAAATCAATATTTTGTTTGACTTTATTTATCTTTTCATTAAAAAAACAAAGTTTTGAAATATACAAGATACTCTAAAAATAATGGTTGTAACCCAAGAAATGAAATTAGAGAACTGTAAAACCTGTATATTTTGTTTAAATTATCACGGCGTAACAAATGAATAAAAACTAAATATAAAATTATTGATTGATATATTCATGTGTTCACTGTTAATGGTTCCTGGTGAAATGATATCAACCGACACAAATCAAAAGAGAATTATTTTTTAATTTCCCAATTTTCCAGATGAAAGGATTTGTTGTATCCGGGGCTAATATCCCCCCACCCCACCCCTAAATAATACTGCTCCATTCCAAACTATTTCCCCCATTTTCCATTTTAAACCCCAAATCTGCTTTGAACATTACCAAGCAATCTAAAAATTATTTAAAAATATCCCATAACCGAAAGAAATCAGACCAAATAATCTCGAAATATGACCAAACGATCTCGAAATCTGACCAAACTATCTCGAAATCTGACCAAACGATCTCGAAATCTGACCAAACGATCTCGAAATCTGACCAAACGATCTCGAAATCTGACCAAACGATCTCGAAATCTGACCAAACCATCTCGAAATCTGACCAAACGATCTAGAAATCTGTCCAAACCATCTCGAAATCTGACCAAACTATCTCGAAATCTGACCTAATGATCTCGAAATCTGCCGTAAACGGAAAAAAAGCGTAAATTCAATTGACCCTCCATGCAAAGATGTCAATGCCTGATTCACAACGGTACCCTTAGAAGCTTTGCCTTAACAAGTATGAACTAGATTTCAATGTTTATAGTTTTTATTTAACTGATTATTTTCAATTATGGATTCACGACAAAAGTTACTTGAGCATTTCTACTGCAGAAAAAATTAGAATTTTCGCTTTTAATCTAGAAAAACGACAATATCTTTCACGTTCTTGATCAGATAAGGGTTTAAGGGGAAACGTTGTGAATCGGACATTCTCATCTTTACAGTTAGGGTCACGTGAAATTACGCTCACAGTTCCTTAAAAACTTGGAAAAATAGGGAGCTAAATGTTTTTGAAAGATCCATGTTTCAAATTCTTCATTTTTTTCAGCTGTCAAAAAAATTATGAAAATTAATAAAATTGTGAAATATAAATATAAATTCAATATTAGTTAATTGTTCAAAGCATTAAACAATGAAAATTTTAAGATGGTAAGGGGAGTTTTCAAAATGATGTTTCAACACGTACGTCTTAATACCGATATGTTTTTATCCCGTGGAATGATTGTGAGGTTGACAATTTTTTTATATCGTAGGATTTCTCTAAAAAATATTTCTTTAGGGTTTTCGTAGGTTTGTTTGGTCTTTACAGTTAGGGTCACGTGAAATTACGCTCACAGTTCCTTAAAAACTTGGAAAAATAGGGAGCTAAATGTTTTTGAAAGATCCATGTTTCAAATTCTTCATTTTTTCAGCTGTCAAAAAAATTACGAAAATTAATAAAATTGTGAAATATAAATATAAATTCAATATTAGTTAATCGTTTAAAGCATTAAACAATGAAAATTTTAAGATGGTAAGGGGAGTTTTCAAAATGATGTTTCAACACGTACGTCTTAATACAGATATGTTTTTATCCCGTGGAATGATTGTGAGGTTCACAATTTTTTTTAATATTATTTAACTCGTAGGATTTCTCTAAAAAATATTTCTTTAGGGTTTTCGTAGGTTTGTTTGGTTGCCTTGGTTTCAAAACAGATACAAATACATAAAGGTATTGTATGTTACCCTGTTTAACTATAGACCCTGATATATCACAAGATCACGACTCTACCTTCATCTCTACTCCGTCTCGAATCCAATGGAACTCCGTACCCTCCTCTCCGATCCTAGTCCTTATATACAAAAATATTGGTGTTGCAGCCACTTCTGTTGGCGCCGGCGCTTATTTTGAACTTTAGGCGCCCCCGGCGTCAGAGAGTATTATTTGTGTTGAACCATACAGTTTAGTTTTTACTTTGGGTGTAGAAAACATACAAGGATATAAGGATACAAGGATACAAGGATACAAGGATATAAGGATACAAGGATACAAAGATACAAGGATAACAAGGATACAAGGATGCAAGGATACAAGGATGCAAGGATTCAAGGATTCAAGGATTCAAGGATACAAGGATACAATTGGATACAAGGATACAAGGATGCAAGGATACAAGGATACAAAGATGTAAGGATACAAGGATACAAGGATTCAAGGATACAAGGATACAAAGATACAAGGATACAAGGATACAAGGATACAAGGATTCAAGGATTGTTTTTTAGGGTTCCAAGGATGGTTAATAGGGATAAAAGGATTCAAGAAAAGTTAAGGAGAATACATGAATAGATGAGAAGAATAAATGTGAATAGATGAGAAAAATGCATATAGAGATGAGAAGAATAAATGAACAGGTGGGAAGAATAAATGAATAGATGAGAAGAATACATGTTAATAGATGAGAAGAATACATGTGAATAGATGAGAATGATACATGAATAGATGAGAAGAATAGATGAGAAGAATATATGTGAATAGATTAGCAGAATACATGTTAATAGATGAGAAGGATGCATGTGAATAGATGAGAAGAATAAAAGAATAGATGAGAAGAATACATGTGAATAGATGAAAGGATAGATGAAAAGATGAGAAGAATAAAAGAGTAGATGAGAAGAATACATGTGAATAGATAAGAAGAATGCATGTGAATAGATAAGAAGGATAGATGAGAAGAATAAAAGAGTAGATGAGACGAATACGTGTGAATAGATGAGAAGAATAGAAGAATAGATGAAAAGAATACATGTGAATAGACGAGAAGGATACATGTGAATACATTAAAAGGATAATTGAATAGATGAGAAGAATACATGAATAGATGAGGAGAATACAAGTAAATACATTTAAAGGATAATGGAATAGATGAGAAGAATACATGAATAGATGAGAAGAATACATGAATAGATGAGGAGAATACATGTGAATACATTAAAAGGATAATTGAATAGATGAGAAGAAAACATGAATAGATGAGAAGGATACATGAATAGATGAGAAGAATACAAGAATAGATGAGAAGAATACATGTGAATAGATGAGAAGAATACATGAATAGATGAGAAGGATACATGAATAGATGATAAAAATACAAGAATATGAAGAAGGTTTAAGATGATATAATCCTGGTTTGAACGCTGAGAAGAATTATGAAAAAGTTCTCATGATAATATAAAGAATTGCGTGCGAATGATGACTCAGTTAAATAAAGAAACTAATTATTAATTCTGGAGATAACATTTTTTTCAAGACCAGAAATTCAGAGCGCATCGCGCACCTCAATTGTTATTTAGAACTCGTCTTCATTACTTAAAGATTTATGATCTAAAAATTGTTAATTATAGTATTGCTATTTATTAATGTATAGATGTACATGCAACAGACAGCAAGGATACAAGGATACAAGATTTATGATCTAAAAATTGTTAATTATAGTATTGCTATTTATTAATGTATAGATGTACATGCAACAGACAGCTGTCATTGTTTTCCTCCTTATAAATCTTAATACAGAGAAAAGAATGAACTAATCTAATCAACCCCCTCCCCCTCCTCCTCGCTAATCTAATCCTAGACAACATGTGTAGCACAGCAGAGAGAAGGATGAAATTATATAATCNTAACCTTAACCTTTGTATTTAAAAATCTATTATGTTAATTAAGAATCTGTAGATAATACAAAGCAACGGTTGAAGACGACATTTCATAAAATATAATTTATTTTGACGGGTTTTCCTCAACACTAAATAAACAAAACTAAATAGTCTAGAAACATTAAAAAAATGGAAAATAATTCTTTTTTTCTTCTAAAAAGTTTGTACTCATGCACTGTTAGAATTAAAACATTTTTCAGAATTTGAGATAATTTTTTTCAAAGTATTTAACAGAGGAATTATTTTTTTAACCCTTATATCATTGCAACCCAATGTGGTAGACCTTAGATATTTAAAACTAGGAATTCTCTGTTACTTATACACCAACAGGGGATTAGAAATTTTGAGTTTGTGGCGAGGAATCAACTCCTTTCAGATAATTCCCTCAACATTGTGCTGAGGGTTGAGATATGCCGAGCTAAATACTTACTAGAGATAGTATTCTGTTTTCAAAATATTTAAAAATAATTACGATATGCATTTGGTCATTCTACTGGTGGTAGGCGATTACATCAATGCAATGAAGACGACTTTCGATTTAAATTTTGATTTAGATCAAACTGTTAACAATAAAAATTTAATTAAAAAGTCATTATATTGATATAATACCTTACCACTGATAATCTTAGAAATTACGAACAAACTTTTAAGTTTTTCTAACAGTTTGTAATCTTTGATTTAAGGAAATGATGATGAGCCGGTATTTGATCCATGGTGAATCAGAACATCCTAGTTTTTCATTAGGATTCATAATTTATATAATAAATTATGAAAATGATAAAAACAAGGATACAAGGTTAACAAGGTTAAACAATACATAGAGATAATGATTATCTTCAAATACTTATCATTTAAAAATTTAAATTTGACTCTCACTTCTCTCTTTTTGAATAAAACTTTTCCTACTCCATCCAAACCTATCCTACTCATGCATGTATCCCCAACCTATCCTACTCCATGCATCCGCAACCTTTCCTACTCCATACGCAACCTATCCTACTCCATGTATCCTCAACCTATCCTACTCCATGTCTCCCCAACCTATCCTACTCCATGTCTCCCCCAACCTATCCTACTCCATGTATCCACAACCTATCTTACGCCATGTATCCCCAACCTAACCTACTCCATGTATCCGCAACCTATCCTACTCCATGTCTCCCCAGCCTATCCTAATCCATTTATCCAACCTATCCTACTCCATGTATCCTCAACCTATCCTACTCCATGTATCCAACCTATCCTACTCCATGTATCCTCAACCTATCCTACTCCATGTCTCCCTATCCTATCAGCTACTCCATGTCTCCCCAACCTATCCTACTCCATGTATCCACAACCTATCTTACGCCATGTATCCCCAACCTAACCTACTCCATGTATCCGCAACCTATCCTACTCCTTGTCTCCCCAACCTATCCTAATCCTGGAATCCAACCTATCCTACTCCATGTATCCTCAACCTATCCTACTCCATGTCTCCCCAACCTATCCTACTCCATGTATCCCGAACCTCCTATAGAACCATCTCCTGTTACTCCATCAAGTGAGTACATCTGGTGCGCAAACTAATGAGTTTATATCTCTGGGTGCTTCAAGCAGTAGGAGGCTAGATATTCTAAGGTTATGAATACTATATGTAGAATGAAACTATTTCATAATCTGTTGGTTCTAAATCAAATCTGTCCATGTCAAGATATCTCCGTTGAATTCATCAACTTGTCGTGATCCAGTTCAAACCTTAGCTTTGTATTCACGCAGAGCAAATATAAAACATGTTTATTCCACGCTAGTCATATCTTTATATTATGTCGTGTAAACTCCGGCTTCTAATGGGCCACACAACAATCTCATTCTCAGTCATTCTTCAAGCAAACTCTTATAGTGTTATACAGAAAGTTCGAGGAATCTATGAAATAGAGAGAGCTACAAATAGTCTTTCAATCTTACTTCCGAAACAGAGCTTCAAAAGTGTATAGCAGTGTAATCTATAAATTAGGCCTGCCTGTTTGTTTGTATCCAATAAACGTCAAAACTGCTGAACCGATCGGGCCAAATCTATTTGTGGCAACTCAAATGACCCCAGGGAAGATTTATGGAGGGTCAAAATGTTGCCCAAACAAAAAGTAGACATTTATTATTTTTGGATTTAATACACTTGCTCTATGTGTATTCTCCACCTGGATGGATTGAATATATATGTTCCAGGTCTGTTCTCCGCTTGCTGGGATTAAAAATATCTGTTCCAGGTCTATGCTCCACCTGGTTGGATTAAATATATCTGTTCCAGGTCTATTCTCCACCTGGTTGGATTGAATATTTGTTCCAGGTCCGTTCTCCATCTTGTGGGATTGAATATGTCTGCTCTAGGTTGGTTCACAACCTGGATGGATTAATTATATCTGCTTAGGGTCTGTTCTCCACCTGGTTGGATTAACTATATCTGCTCCGGTTCTGTTCTCCCCTGGTGGGATTGAATATCAGCTCAGGGAGGGGTTTAAAGGACCAAAGGTTAACAGTGTGTCAGAGGAGCTCCGAGATCTTTGCCAGCCAAGCCGGGGATATATTCAAACCCAAGAACTGATGTTTATCACGCCATGTAAACATTTAAATCGATGAGTTTTATCCAGACATTAAGCGCAAAACTACTAACCCATTTTCTCCCATTAAATGGAGATTATTCACATTTTCTATTATATACGGTTTAGAGTTAAGAATTCCCGCGGTGTGAATTACGGTTTATGGGTACACCATGCACTCCATGCACTCCATGCACTCCATGCACATCGCACATCTTAACAAAAAGATCTAAGATGCAAAGTTACATGATTTGAAATAGATTTAAAGATTATATTTTGTCAACTTATTTTGAACAATAATAAATCTAACAGAATACGGTCCAACGTTACTTTAATTTGATTAAACTACAAGTTTACAAGTTTACAGTTTACAGTTTACAGTTTACAGTTTACAGTTAACAGTTTNAATCTGTACAGGGTGTTCAGTTTACAGGATTTAATTAATCTGTACAGGGTGTTCAGTTTACAGGATTTAATTAATCTGTACAGGGTGTTCAGTTTACAGGATTTAATTAATCTGTACAGGGTGTTCAGTTTACAGGATTTAATTAATCTGTACAGGGTGTT